TACAATTCTTATAAATTAATTATTTACAAAATCGAGATAACTGTATGATTATACAGTTGTGTCGACGTCAAATCTAACAGTATAATAACAATCTTATATGTGTAATAAAAATAGCACAATTTCACCATATATTATTTATTCAGTCTTATCATTATCACCAAGATTGTGTAACATTTTTAACATTCGGGAGCACTAACTTTCGTATTTAATGTATTGGTCGATTTTTTAATAACAGTAATAATAATAATAATAATAATGTTTTATTTTCCAAGAGAAGGAATCCAAATACAGAAAAAACTAAATAAAACCGCTATATCTATGAAAAAGCCTATTTGGAGTATTAACTAATGATACAAATATTAAATACTTAAATAGTATAAGGTACAAGGTCAAACAAACAAGGGGACAATAATTTTGACAGCATATGAATTCCTGGCTTGTTTAAATAAAAGATTTGTGGGTGCTTTCAAGGGTGGATGGGACTATCAGAGTGCCTATACTTATTTACGCTAGTCTAAATTTTTTCCGGCCCTGATAACAGGACTCCGAATTTTTTTCAAAGTAGTTCAAAAACCAGGTACTAGAAATCCCCAAGATTCTTTCAAATTATTTCAAAAACCAGGCATTAGAATCCCCAAGATTCTTTCACAAACTACTTCGAAACCAAAACCAAAGTGGTCCCCGAGATTCTTTCAAACTATTTCAAAAATCGGTCGCTAGAAGTCCCCGTGATTCTTTTCAGACTACTTCAAAAACCAGACACCAGAAGTCTCCGAGATTCTTTGAAACTACTTCAAAAACCCAACACGAGAAGTCCCCGAGATTCTTTCAAATTGCTACAAGGGGTCCCTGAAATTCTTCTAAACTACTTCAAAATCAAAACAAAAAGGATCCCTGAGATTCTTTCAAACTACTTCAAAAACCATACACAAGAAGTCCCCGAGATTCTTTCAAACTACTTCAAAAACCAGACAAAAAGAGTCCTCGAGATTCTTTTAAACTGCTTCAAAAACCAGGTACAAGATATCCCGAAAATTCTTTCAAACTACTTCAAAAACCTGGCACATGAAGTCCCCGATATTCTTTCAAACTACTTCAAAAATCAGACAAAGTGTCCCCGAGATTCTTTCAAACTACTTCAAAAACCATACACAAGAGGTCCTGGAGATTCTTTCAAACTACTTCAAAAACCAGACAAAAAGAGTTCTCGAGATTATTTTAAACTGCTTCAAAAACCAGGTACAAGAGATCCTCAAGATTCTTTCAAATTACTTCGAAAACCAAAAACAAGAAGTCCCCGAGATTCTTTCAAACTACTTCAAAAATCAAACACAAAGTGTCCCCAAGATTCTTTCAAACTATTTACTTCAAAAACCAAATACAAAATGTCTCCGATTTTCTTTCAAACTAATTCAAAAAACAGACAAAAAGTGTACTCGAGATTCTTTCAAACTTCTACAAATGGGATTCCTCACATTCTTTCAAACTACTTCAAAAATCAGATACAAAGTGTCCGCGTGATTCTTTCAAATTATCTTAAAACCGATACACAAAGGATCTTCGAGATTCTTTCAAACCATTTCAAAAATCAGATGCATGAAGTTCCCGAGATTTTTTCAAACTACTTAAAAAACCAAACACATAGTATCTCCGAGATCCTTTTAAACTGATACAAAAGCGGTCCCTGAGATTCTTTTACACTACTTCAAAATCAAAACAAAAGGTATCTCTGAGATTCTTTCAAACTACTCCAAAAACCCCACACAAGAGGTCCCCGAGATTCTTTCAAACAACTTTAAAAACCAGACACAAGGAGTCTTCGAGATTCTTTTAAACTACTTCAAAATCAAAACAAGAGGATTCTCTGATTTTCTTTCAGACTACTTGAAGAAACCAAACACAAAGTATTCTCGAAGTTCTTTCAAACTACTACAAACGGGTCCCCGAGATACTTTTAAACTATGTACTTCAAAATCAAAACAAAAGGGATCGCTGAAAGTCTTTCAAACTACATCAAAAACCAGATACAAAATGTCCCCGAGATTATTTCAAACTGCTACAAAAATGGTGCCTGAGATTCTTTTGAACTACTTCAAAATCAAAACAAAAGGAATCCTCGAGATTCTTTTAAACTACTTCAAAATCAAAACAAAAGGTAACCCTGAGATTCCTTCAAACTAGTTCAAAAACCAAATCTTAAATAGTCCCCGACATTCTTTCAAACTACTTCAAAAACCAGACAAAAATGTCCCCGAGATTCTTTCGAACTGCTACAAAAGGGGACCCTGAGATTCTTTCAGACTACTTCAAAAACCAGACACAAGGAGTCCCCGCGATTCTTTTGAATTGCTTCAAAACCATATACAAGATATCCTCAAAATTCTTTCAAACTACTTCAAAAATCAGACACAAAAAGTCCCCGAGATTCTTTCCAACTACATACTTCAAAAATCAGACACAAAGTGTCCCCGATACCCTTTCAAACTGCTACAAAAGGAATCTCTGAGATTCTTTCAGACTATTTCAGAAACCAAACTCAAAGTGTTCCCGAAATTCTACAATACTGCAAAACGTGTTCCTGAGATTCTTTAAAACTACTTCAAAAACCAGATACAAAATATCCCCAAAATTCTTTCAAACTACTTAAAAAACCAAACACAAAGTGTGCCGAGATTCTTTCAAACTGCTACAAAAGGAATCCCCAAGATTGTTTGAAACTACTTCAAAAATCATACAATACAAGAGATTCTTTCAAACTTTCAAAGGGGTCGTTGAGATTCTTTTAAACTACTTCAAGATCAAAACAAAAAGAATCTCTGAGATTCTTTCAGACTACTTCAAAAATCAGACACAAAGTGTCCCGGATATTCTTTCAAACCGATACAAAAGGGATCCTTGAGACTCTTTTAAACTACTTCAAACTCAAAACAAAAAGATTCTCTGAGATTCTTTCAGACTACTTTAAATACCAAACACAATGTGTTCCCGAAATTCTACCACAAACTATGTACTTACTGCAAAATCAAAACAAAAGGGCTCCTCAAAATTAAAACAAAAGGGATCCCTGAAATTATTTCAAACTACATACTTCAAAAACCAGATACCAAATATCCCCGAAATTCTTTCAAACTGCTTTAAAAACCATACACAAAGGGTCTGTCTAAAGTTTTCTCGTTCTAGTTCAGCAGGTCTGATCCGCCCCTGGATGCTTTCAGTTAAGCCTTGTAACATTTGGAAAATCCAGCTAATTCCGTTGAATCTATCCGCTTGTGTACAAAAAATCTTTAGAATTTTTAAATTAATTCGTTGTCATTATTAAACTTCTCGCTGTTTTCTCTAACGTTTCACCTCTCCTACCTCCAATCCCAAATCTACTAAACGAACCTCGTAACTTTCAAAAGCAGTACCGATCTAAGCTGCGAAATCCCTTCTTTGTCAACTTATTCAATTTATTTGTCAATTTTTCAAAGCCTGACGAAACGAAGTTTAGCCACGAGTAACGGAAATTGAATATTTTGTATACACGAACAAAGCATAACTTTAACATATTTTCAGCGACGTATTTAGTAGAGAATTTTCCAGCGAGTCGGGAACAAATTGTATAAAAACTCATTCCAGATGAATGCGAAACTTCTAAAATACATAAGTCAATATTTTTTATTCGTGCACGAAACATCAAATGAAAAGTGTAGATAAATGGGAGCCAAGTTTGATTTCGAATGAAGTTCATTCATAAACAGTGTTTGGGGTGTAAATTTATTTCTCGTAAATTGTCATGTGACACCTCTCTAAACTTATTACGGGGGTAAGTGTCATCTTTGGGAACTTTTACAGTATACGCTCACGCCACTCACTCCTTTAACAGCCCGCATAAAAAATTCCTGAACGCTGAAAGTCGGGCAATAAAAGCGCAGACATGACGAAAAGTAAAGCTGAAACTTCGCCAAATGTCAACATGTTGAAATAGGCAAAGCGTGAAAATATTTTTCCTTGCTCTTTATTGAGATGAGTAAGTGGAAGTATTCATAAGGAAAGGTCGCCAAGCTGAAAGTTCCACATATACAGAAAAAGATTGAGGAGTTATATGTATGCAAACGAGAGAAAAACTTTTCTTCAAGTTTTTAGCAACAATAAAGTTCTGATGAATGTTTTTTTGAATTGATACTTAAATGGAGATTGATGTGAAAAATCTCCCATGAAAATAGGTATGACTCACATAAAATTTGATAGCAGGATTAGCTTAATGAGTTGTGCCTAAAATAAGTGACTTAAAATATCAATAATGTCTGATAATTTACTGCAGATAAAGTGGAAAATGGATGATCTGAGTTAAAATTCCATTCGTAAATAGTTTTATAACAGATTTAGCAATTTTTGTTATGGAGTCTGGAATTAGATGAGGATGCCCGTGACATTTATGAGCCAAGTTCTACTCGTAATTTTTCAACGTCTTATTGTTTACTGGAATTGTTAATGTTTGGAAATAAATTGTGCTGGACTCGACTTTAACCTTGCTATAGTTGTTTAAAATACCGCATTTACTTGCTTGAATATTTTTGAAATATCTACAGGATGTACTGAAAATGTAGAAAATATTGATGTGTGGTCGCTTTTACTTTTATTTCCGCCCTCCGCCCAACGGATGCGAAGCAATGAATAAAACACCACGTGATTGACATGTAATTATGCAGGCGTTTCTCACATAACAAATATGGCGTATTACTCGTGATGAATATATGACGTTAGTTTCCTCTTCAAACATTTATCAGTTTCAAATGGGCATTCACTTACACGTTCCCGTCAATTTTGTGCCAACGCTAGAGAGAGCGAAATGTCAAATGTAACATGAAATGAATATTTTTTAATATTTATCAAATTTTATTTCTGTAGCCGCTAAACTCAACTGTTAGGTTCTGTTTATCTTTACGCTGGTGTGCAATATTAAGTTTTCTTGTTAAGTAAAAATAAGAAGAGGCTGCTAGATATATTGTGCCTGTGTTTAATTTTTCGCGTGTGTTCCACTTCTGCCTATTTTAATCTCGCGCAGTTATGTCCGATCATTAAATGTGCAAGTGCCTCCAGTAATTGTTCGTCTAAAATTACCTCCAATCAACTCTTTTTCGACAGCACCATGAGTCACAGCCCCCATAAACTCAACACCATTCTCATTTAACCGAAGATATTTTTAAATCAAAGTAATTATTCCCCGAACTCTCCCAAAAATAAAATGACCGTAGCCACCGCCTTTCCATTTCATCTCCTATGCACCGCTTCCCTCCGTCAATCATAAAAGCCGCAATTTCGCCGAAATGCTCGCCTCAAAACCCATTTAAACCTTTGATGACCCCATCATAAACCAATTATCTCTCTTTTGTGCGGCAGCCAACACTCAGTATACCAATCGATTCATAACTCTCTATCTCGCGCCACTGACTCGCGGCGCCTCCTTCATCATCCACTCCATTAACTTCCCTTTGTTTTGCCTAATTTCAGAAGGCTTTGGGGCGCTCCACCACAGAAACCATCACTGCCACGAGGTAAACGAGACATGTCTTCATCCTCTCGGAGCACTCCGAACATTTACGAGAACAACAATGATATCAAAGTAGCAAATGGGAAGATGACGGACACGAGAACGACGAATTCGCCGCAACCGATCCCCAGCCCGAAGGTCCAGTTCAGGTCGTCGAAGCCGTCACGGTGCTGCAGTTGCCTACATCTCAATAACCTCTGGTCTTTGTGGTACGGTATTTTTGGAACGGCGCTACAAGCCTACACCGCTATCAAATGCGTAAAGAGGATCTTGGGCTACTCGCTACTCTCGTGGCCAGAAAACTTGTCAGTTCCGTATTTGGAACTCAACTGCAGCTTGGGACTGACGGGAGCCGCGATTCTCCTGCTGCCGGTTTTCCTCATCGCGACCCTCTTCAAGGTACTAAGACTTCGCTTTTGATTTGATCGGATCTGATCCGTGAACTTGCAGATTGGCAACCTGGCGAACGACGGGTTCAAGCTGGGGCGCCAGTTGAGTACGTGCAGCAAAGAACCGGCGAAGGAGGTCCTCGCGAGCAATGGAAGCTGCAGGCTTTTCCGACACGGCGGTCCCACGGCGCCTTTTGTACATTTGATGATTGCTTTTTGCTTGCTGGTGCCGAAACTCTTGATGGAAGCTCGCTTAATCGAAGCGGGATTCCTCTCACAAGGTGCTTAAAATAAGTCGAGGTTATAACCCCCGTTAATCGTTTTTTGCAGATTGGATATGGCGCACTGATTTAGATTTTATGGGGCTTCATAAAGATCGAATGGTAATTCTGAGTTTCATGACTGCGAACAACACTAACGCTGCGTCGATCGCCCAAGTGAAAAGAGCGGCTATTACCACCCCCGCGCCGCTCACCCCTCTACCTTTCACCAGCAACTCGGTTGTGACGAATACTGTAATCAAAACACTAAAGGATTTTATAGGGCACGAGAATCATACCAATTACGAACACAAGAATATAGGTGAGGGAAGATGATTTAGTACGATAGATAGTGAATTGAAAACTTACTCGTATAACACTGGTGAAACAAGCTTGAGTGGATCGTTTATTAAGATTAGCGAACTATTTGTTTCAGAAACCGGATGGGGTAGCTCCGTTAGCGTCGAATACATGAATTTAGTGATCGCTCTTATGGTTTACTCCATAAGGTATCCCGCGATCTTCTGGTCAACGAACAAATGTCTAGGCACAATTTTTTCCTTCCAGCTACTCATTAACGCCTTACATACGCTTTTGGCCTACGCCGGAATGTCTATTTTATACAAAGTAAGACTTACACCTTTCAGACTGTGGAAGTTAACCGTTGCTTCCAGGTGCAAATCGTCGGTGGCTGGAAAACTCTCCCTTTGCTCAAACATGAACATAGTACCTTATTCACCTTTAGCAAAATGTCGCCGTTTTTGCTTAACCCACAAGTTACTCTAGCACTCTACATGATGTCTACTCTTTTAATACTCTCTTCTAGTCTAGTTTTATATCTGTACGGCCACACGAGGTAACAATTTCACCGACAAACAAAATTTAAGTTTCACGTTGACCATTCTAGGTTCAACGCCTTTTTGAACCAAGAACGCGAAAGAAAAGTCATCATGTTGAAAGAAGGCGGCAGCAACAAGTGGAGCTATTTCACCCACTGTGCGGCATTGTGCGTTCTCGTCTCAGTCGGAATCTGCAACGCTCCCTTACTCCACGATTATACCGTCCTCTACAAAGGGAGTCTAGACGATACAACTCTGGCCTGTATAGTAGGTGGAATTCTTCACCTCTTCTTCTGGATCGTAATTTGGTTGTTTCTGACAATAAAACAAACGTGGATTTTTAAGTTGAGGGTCACGGTATGTCCACTCCACCTCATTTTTGCTCGAATGATGATTAACTTGTAGGTCGGGAGAGCTACGGTACGTCAAGCCCGCTCTCTTAAACTCGTGACTGACATCGACTTGATGACCTCACGCGTGGAAGATTTATCACAACAACCCCTTCTCATTGTGGGTAATGGTCGCACCTACAACATCACCGAGACCTCTCCAAAGAAAGCCATCATGAGCGTCATTCAAAAAGCTACAATGAACAAAAGAGCACCTAATGGTTCGGTCTGTAATCAAGACGACGAAGAAGAACAAATCTACTGGTTGCGGCCTGCCCTCGTCAGCCCGCAGTCGTCCCCCGACGAAGCCAAGCAGTTGTGCTGGTTCAAGAACAAGCCCAAACACAAAGTCACCTTTAACGAAACAACTAGTACGTCTGTTAATCGGTAACGCGGCCTTCTACTTAATTGGTGTTGTGATTTTTTTGCTTACTCACCTATTAGTTGCTTGCTTTGTTCTTGTGTCGTCTTGCTGCGGTGTCTTCGGTTGACCGGGACCTTTTTTCCAGTAATAAAAATGGTGGAGTACGAGGAAGACGATTAACGACGATGGATGAGGATGACGGGGATTACGCGACGCTAAGGGAAATTCCGCTGCCGCAACCCATCAGGAGGCCGGAAAATCGGGAAGACACCGTCAGCGAGGAGGGGAAGGTAAGGGCTTCATTAACATCAAGGAAGTTTGCATCATCCATCATTGCTTTAGCTTCTGGCTTGCGTTCAAGACGAACACGTAACTTACGCTAGTAACAATCAGGATCTAATCCCTCCCGTAGATTACGAGGATCCGAGTCCCTTACTAACACCAGAACCACTATACGCACAAAAAACACCCGCATCTGTCATTGTTCATAATCATGAAACCCAGGTAAGACTCCCGGAGGGCCGAGTTGGCTGTTGCGCTAGGCTGCTTGGCGCGCTACGAGGCAGACTAACCTCAAAAAAATTAAGAACAATTAGTAGATGCAATCGTCATCACTTTTTGGGAGAGGATGAATAAATTTATCAAAATTTTCAATTAACAAATATTTAAAAACTTATTCGCCTACTAAAGTTGGGTATATTTATAGAAGTTTCGTCTTGCTATTTTGCTTTATTGTGGTTTCGTGTTTACTATTTTTGTACAAAACGGTTTTGTTTTCCTCTTGGCCGTCGCAACAGCCGCTTTGAGTGTTCCCCTGTTTAGCCCCGCCCACTAAGCCCCGCCTTTTCCAGAACGCGTCCGGCCAGACTCCGCGCTGCTTGAGGAGGGCGGATTCGGGCATGCCCCACGAGGAACTCACTCCCCGCTCCGACACTCTCAGTACCGAGAGCTCCACCTCCCCGCCCGAAGCCCCGGGCAGCAACCACAGCGAGACCTCTAGCGGCGTCCATTCCAACGACAGCGTCGACCACAAAACCACGCGTCGCGCCACCAGCGTCGTTGATCTAGTCCAGAACCGCGAAGAGATTCAGTGGAAGTCGTCGTCGTTGCAGAGGAACACCCCCGCGCCGACCAGTGCTGGTCCCCCTCCCGCCCCTTTCGCGCCCAAAGCCGAGGCCGGCCACCCGGCCGTGATCCTGGAGAACCCCGCCGAGAGCACGGTAGTGATACGAAGGAAGGTGAGCCGGCCGATCACGGCGGACATCGCGCAAGGGGTGGTACTGAAGGAGGAGCCGTTCGGGCGGGCCACTAATATGAGGATGACGTCGTTCATGGAGAAGAGCGACCTGGGGAACATGCAGGCGTCGTCGGCGACGCTGCCGCATTTTCCGACGCAACCTATGCAAAATGTATACGCGCATTGCTCCACGATGCCGCTACCGCAGCAACATGTGCCTAATGGGCAGAATCTAGTCGCTGGAAACAGCTGCAACGTGTATCCTCGTCAGCATACGACGCTGCCTACGCATCACAACGGGGTGAAGTTGTTTCATCCGCAGAATCCGTACGTCACGAGGTTTAAATGTAAGCAAGCTGAGCCAATCAAAACCAATGTCCATGAACCCATTTATACGGGGGTGAATAAGGCTGGAGATATGTATCATTATAACTCTTAAATGTCGGGGAATTCCCCGGATGAAGGACCACGTGCATTTACTTCTCATATATATCACTTGTTCATATCGTTACACTCTTTTTTCATCACTATGGCAACAATAAACAAAGGAAAATACACAATAATTTAGCGTTAGGTTTTATATGGAGAAGTATACACATGGTAGTTAGGATTAAATTTTGTATATATACAGTGTAGTTAATGAAATAATTTTATATTGATTGGTAGAGTAATTTTTTTATTTCTTACTAAGTGAATGTGGTCAGGTCAGGTTCTAGTCACTAGTCGTTATACGAAGGAGGATATTTTATTTATCAGCTTTTTAATGTAATTTAACATGTTCGTGCCCCCCCCCCCCCCCCCCCCCCATAGACCCAGATGTGTAACAATAACGTTATATTATACAAAATGTCAAATCAATAAACTTATTACACTCGTCGGCCTGTCACTATCACCTATTTGTAACCACGTGACGTAAGACGCTCCTCTTCCTTTAGCGCTACAAAATATTCACTGCATGACCAAATATCGTCACAAAATTTTTCATCTGTTGTAATCCGCGGTTGTTGATGTTCTTTCATATCGACGAAAAATTTACCCGAAACACCGTCTACGTGCTTCGACGTAGACAGAAAAACGCTGTTTTGGGCCCCCATTGCAGGTTCCTGTAACATCGGTAACTCATTCCGTGTCAAACACCACGTATACTAAACCTGAATGAAAAACTTGAACGGGTTCACCAAAGACTGATTTTTCCACAAAAACGTCGTCGCTGTCATTCCTGGATGAAGAGAGTTAACAGCAACTCCTAATTTTTTTAATTTCTTCGCAAAACCATTGGCAGTTATGATGTTGCACAGTTTCGAGTTGTAATAGATGAGAAGAGACGACAAACCGTCGAAGTAACTAACATCAAGACTGTTAATACTGTCAATGGTTAGTCTATGGAAGAAAGCACCAAGAGAACTGACAAAAAGCACCCTGCTGGGTGCAGACTTTGCTAATTTTTCTGGTGAACAAAGTAATGTAAGTGGATAAAAGTGTTAACCAAAGGGTACCTGCGAGAAGATGGGTTAGTAAAAAAGGACCAAAATGGTTAACTTGCATCGTGGCTTGTAGACCATCGTCGGTTCTTTCTTTACCTAAACAGAAGACTCCGACGTTGTTGATTAAAACGTCCAGACGTTCCTCTTCTTTTACTTCTTGGGCGAAGTTCCTGATTGACGATAAAGACGTGAAATCAACACATTTAGTGACGATGTTGTCGTTGCAGGAATCTTCAATGACTTTATTTTTTGACTCAGTTAGATCGTTTTTGTCGGCCATTATTATGCGGTGATTTTGACGAGCCAGAGCTAGAGCAGTTTGAAAACCAATACCTGGATAGCACTGCATGAGTTGTCTTTGAGTCAAAATCGGTGACATTCATACCTTCGTTGCAACCAGTGATTAAAATTGTCTTGCTTAATTTAACTAAACTGAGAGACATTTTTGGGTTAATCTAAATTTGACGTTTATTGACAACTAATAAAACGAAACAAGTGAAAATTACAATTGCATTTCGTCGGACTTCAGATTAACGAGTTCTATAGACTTTTCCCAGAGTCCTTTTTCAAAATTTGGGCCTATGGTGCTCTCGTAGGGATCAACGCACGTGCAATTGTCAAAATTTTCGCCACTGTACTGCTCAATCCCCTTTGCCACAGCGGTGTAAATAATCGTTTGAGCTCCTTCCTCGCTAGTTTTCAAAAAGTGAGCCTTTAAAAATTCAATTAGTACTTTGCGGTATCCATCTATGTGTCTAAATATTTCAGTTTTTACAGTCCCCGGGTGTAAAGAATAGGTGGTAACGTCTATCCCTTTTAATCTCTCCGCTAGTTCTCTTGTAAACAAAATGTTGCAAACTTTAGAACAACAATAATTCTGGAAGTGGCCTCTGTTGGTATTAAGCTTCTCCAAATCGAACTTGGCACGTAGGGCACCTTTCGAAGACACGTTGATAACCCGACTAGGTGCCGATTTCTTCAAAATCCCTGAAACCACGAGGTCAAAATTCACACATCATTGAAACTGTCACCTCACCCATAAGTAAATTCGTAAGTAAGAAACTAGAAAAGTAATTAACTTGCATCAACCAGATTAACCCATCTTCGCTTTTCCCCTCTCCTGTTAATGCAGCCCCTGCATTATTTACCAACACATCCAAACGCTTTTCAGTTTTATTAATACTTTCAGCAAATGCTCGTACAGAAGCCAAAGAGGCAAGGTCGACAATTTTGACAACAACGTTGTCATTTCCCGTTTCTTCGATAATTTTGCCTCGGGCGATTTCAGCTTTATCTTTATTCCGACAAGCTAAAATTACCCTCGCACCTCTTTTAGCAAAATCTAGCGCTGCCTCGTAACCAATACCTAAAAATTTGGAGTACTTTTTGGGGAGAAAGTGGACAACATGATAAGTAGTACCCGTGTTAGCTCCTGTTACTATTATTGTTTTCCCTATAAGGCAAGTTTGACTTCTGCACCAAACAGTATTTTTGAAATAGTACCAAAAATAAACGTAGATGATAGCGAAGATTGAAAGAACCCACCAAAGGATCAACATGGTTGACTTTATTAACCTCACGGTTGTACAAATAGAACTAAGTTTCTAACCATTTGCATGTAAATTGCTTATTGTGTGTTAATATCGTGGGTTTTTTAAATTGATTATTTGTTTAAACGTGATATATACTTAATAATAGTGTGCAAGGTCACAATTTTACGCTGATTTAATAGCGTTTAATTCCCGTATTAGTACCATAGTAATAAAAAATCAAGGTAAGTTTAATACATTATTTCTTCTGGTTTCAACTCTACAAACTTGACACTTTTCTCCCAAAGCTTCTTCGGAAGCCCTTTGACATCAGCCGTGGGATAAGTGTCAACCACTTTGCAATTGTCAAAAAGGCACCCATTGTATTCTTCAATGTTTTTTGTTACAGCTGTGTATATAGTCGTCTGCGCTCCTTCTTCGCACGTTTTGAAGAAATCTTCTTTAAAGATATTAATAAAAACCTTACTGTAACCCTTCACGTGTCTGAAAATTTCAGTTTGCACAACCCCTGGATTAACACAGTACGTGGTAATTTCAGTTTCTTTCAGCCTTTTCGCTAGCTCCATTGTAAATAGAAGATTGCACAATTTAGAGTTGGCGTAAATGGTATAGGCACCCGTGTAATTATTAATTAGATCTACGTCGAAATTTGTGAATCGTGCAGCTATCGAAGATACGTTTATTACCCTACTTGGACCAGTCTTTTTCAACAAATCTTAAAAACAATGTTATAAGAAAATAAAAAAAAAAGTATAACCCACCTATTAACAAATACGTTAACAGAAAAGCTGAAAGGTAATTAACGTGCATCACTAAAAGAAGACCGTCGTCACTTTTATCATCTTTAACACCACCAAGCCCGGCATTGTTGACTAAAATATCCAGTCGTTCTTCCGTTTCGTTGATATTTTTAGCAAAATCTCTGACGGAATCAAACGACGCTAGATTGACAATTTTCACGACGACGTTCTCGTTATCTGTTTCTTTAACGATTTTCATTTTGGCAACTTCGGCTCTGTTTTTGTCGCGGCAGGCTAAAATCACCCTTGCTCCTCTTTTGGCAAAGTCTAAAGCCGTTTCATAACCGATTCCTACAAGCAAAAGTTATCGGGGTTTCGCAAATTGATTTTTACCTGAGTTGGCTCCTGTGACTATGGCGGTTTTACCGATTAGACATGTTTGGCTTCTACACCAAGTGGTTGCCTTGAAGTAGTGCCAAAAGGCCACATATAAAGATACTATGACTGCACATGCTACCCAAAAGGTGCTCATGGTGGTGTTACGAGACGAAATGATGAATCATGTTATGACTATGATGTATTGTGCAGTTTTACACCCACAGAGGACAGTTTATCGGGAAAGAAAACAATAGGAGATATCAAATTAGTGTTGGGTTGATTTTTTAGTCTCATTTCTAACAATAATTTGAAAAAGTTAAAATGGATTTTCTTCAGGTGTTAACCCTACAAGTTCTTCGCTCTTCTTCCAAAGATTTTTAGCTAGGTCTGGATCGGTTGCATTTTTGTATCGATCCACTTTTCGACAATGATCAAAGTGCTCTCCGCTATACTTCTCAATTCCTTGAGTCACCGAGCAATAAATATTAGTTTGGGCACCTTCTTCACACGTCTAAAATACAAGCTTCAGATTTTTATACTTTTTGAAATAGTAACTTACCATGGAGAACAATTTTACTATAATCATAAACAACACTTTCATAATACCGTGAAAATTGTGAAATATTTCGGTTTCGACAAAACCTGGATGTAGCGAATACGTCGTCACACTTGTTCCTTGAAGTTTCTTTGCCAACTCTATCGTAAACAAAACATTGCATAATTTTGAATGATAGTAGTCGTCGTTAAAACGAGGAACAAAGTTGTCAATGTTGTTTACATCCAACTTAGAACCCATACTTGCCCCTAGAGACGACACGTTTACGATACGACTTGGACCAGACTTCTTTAACAAATCTGTAAAAACAGTCTCAAAACTAAATCTTGACGACCAAAACACTCACTTAAGAGCAAATTCGTCAAAAGAAAACTGGAGAAATAATTGACTTGCATCAGCAGCGGACGCCCATCGACCGTTCTTTTGTGTTCAAGTCCAACAGCACCTGCATTGTTGACCAAAATGTCTAATCGGTCTTCCGTCTTGTTGATTTCTTCTGCAAACGCTCGAACTGACTCGAAAGATGCCAAGTCGATAACTCGTACGAAAATTTTGTGGTTGTGGGTTTCCTCGATTATTTTTCTGCGGGCTTCTTGCGCTTTGGATATGTTTCTGCAAGCTAAAATTACTTTGGCGCCTCGTTTGGCGAAGTCGAGTGCCGTCTCGTAACCAATTCTTGTAACACGATGAGAGTGCAAAAGTTTTGCTATTGCGTAACTACATACCACAATTAGCTCCGGTCACTATAGCGGTTTTACCAACCAGACAAACCTGACTTTTACATGTTCGAAGAGTTAATTTGGTGTATATTTTTAAACCAGCTACTATAGCTGCAAGGATAAACACGGAGATCAGTAAGAGATCCATTTTACTGGTATTTTTTTGGTGATACCTACTTATAATTAACTATGTTAGAGATTATCAAAATTTTCGATAACGTGCTTATCATTTCGAGTTGCTCTTCACTTAAAAATAGATTTATTTAACCTTCGAACGGTAACTTTTTCTAGGTTTTATTCAACTCAGTTAGAATAGTGTCTTTATTTACGCCACCATGTATTTTTCGAACTTAAAATGGATTTTCTTCAGGTTTTAACCCCACGAGTTCTTCAGTTTTCTTCCAAAGTTTCTTAGCTAATTCTGGATCGGCTGCAGTTTTGTACCGTTTCACTTTTTTACAAGAGTCAAAGTGCTCTCCACTATAATCCTCGATTCCTTTAGCTACCGAGCAATAAATATTGGTTTGGGCACCTTCTTCACACGTCTAAAATATAGGCTTCAGATTTTTATACTTTTTGAAATTGTAACTTACCATGGAGAACAATTTTACTATAATCATATACAACGCTTTCAGAACACCATGAAAATTATGCAATATTTCTGTTTCCACAAAACCTGGATGTAGCGAATACGTCGTCACACTTGTTCCTTGAAGTTTCTTTGCCAACTCTATCGTAAACAAAACATTGCATAATTTTGAATGATTGTAGTCGTCGTTAAAACGAGGAACAAAGTTATCAATGTTGTTTACATCCAACTTAGAACCCATACTTGCATTTAGAGAAGACACATTTACGATGCGACTTGGACCAGATTTCTTTAACAAATCTGTAAAAACAGTCTCAAACTAAACCTTGACGACCAAAACACTCACTCAAGAGCAAATTCGTCAAAAGAAAACTAGAGAAATAATTGACTTGCATCAGCAGCGGCCGCCCATCGACCGTTCTTTTATGTTCAAGTCCAATAGCACCTGCATTGTTGACCAAAATGTCTAATCGGTCTTCCGTCTTGTTGATTTCTTTTGCAAACCCTCGAACTGAATCGAAAGACGCCAAGTCGACAACTCGTACGAAAATTTTGTGGTTGTGGGTTTCCTCGATTATTTTTCTGCGGGCTTCTTGCGCTTTGGATATGTTTCTGCAAGCTAAAATTACTTTGGCGCCTCGTTTGGCGAAGTCGAAGGCCGTCTCGTAACCAATTCCTATAACACGATGAGAGTGCAAAATTTTTGCTATTGCGTAACTACGTACCACAATTAGCTCCGGTCACTATAGCGGTTTTACCAACCAGACAAACCTGACTTTTACATGTTCCAAGAGTTAATTTAGTGTATATTTTTAAAGCAGCTACTATAGCTGCAAGGATAAACACGGTGATCAGTAAGAGATCCATTTTACTAGGTTATTTTTTGGTGATACATACTTATAATTAACTATGTTAGAGATTATCAAAATTTTCGATAACGTGCTTATCATTTCGAGTTGCCCTTCACTTAAAAATAGGTTTATTTAACCTTCGAACGGTAACTTTTTCTAGGTTTTAATTCAAACTCAGTTAAGAATAATGTGTCTTTATTTACAACATAATATGTATTTTTCGAACGTAAAATGGATTTTCTTCAGGTTTTAACCCTACGAGTTCTTCAGTTTTCTTCCAAAGTTTCTTAGCTAATTCTGGATCGGCTGCAACTTTGTACCGTTTCACTTTTCTACAACAATCAAAGTGCTCTCCACTATAATCTTCGATTCCTTTAGCTGCTCAGCGATAAACGTATTCTCTGTTGCATGGTTGCCACCCCCGCTACCACCGATCGGTCAACAACCAGGACACCCTTTTCACGGCTTTCGCCAACCTGCTGTGTCATGGGCCACCTGAGTACGCCCTCAGTGCCCAGGTACATACATACCATGGCCAGGTTCACCTTCTCTTATCAACACTTTAACACCCAACTCTTTGCTCTTATCATTTAACTCGAGTCCGGTCCTGTCAGACCATCACAACACAGCTGGGCCTGCACCCTCGGCGTCTGAGATATGTGACTTAAGTGGGGATTAATAATTAAAAATGATTGGTTTTGTCGCCTTTTACCTTTCGTTTTAATCCTTGGTTTAACCTCTGCAGAGTAATATGTTTTTCTAAAAATGGTAATAACTGTATTGTAACATTGTTTTTGTATGAATCATTACCACGTGTTGTTTATACACATGTCATAAACTGTATTACGACTTCTATTTTTAGGTTCATACTTGGCTTGAGAAATTTGCGATTTGATCTCCACTTTGTTGGACTAATAAATAGACCTAGCTTCTCTTTTCTAGTTTTAATGTTAGATTGTTAGACATTGATGAATGATGACAAACCAACATCTAGTGCATCTACAACTCGCCAAAAATTCAAAAAGAAATTCTTGGTGGACAGTGAAAATTTCCATTGCTTTTTCTCACTTGTTGTATGACATTTAACAACAACAGGAGACCTTTGTTTTCTTTCGCTTACGCTCGGGAAATATTGTAATCCAGTCCGTCGTCCAACTCTCTACTTTTACGTTTTCTCGACCTTTCATGACAATACGAAGAAATAGGTCTCCCGTTTCCGTCTGTATGTTCGTCTGTCCGTCTGTCAATCTGCCGTCCCGGATTTTTATTAGACAAATAATCTCCGAAAGCACTGCTGAGCCTCCCCTAGATCTAGACAAGTTATAATTAACCAAATGTGAATTACACCATCGCAAATCAAAATAAAATGTAGTGTTTTATTCAATAAGCCGAAGTCAGAGCAATAAAAAAGTCTGGACCGTCAACATTGTGATCCGGTTATTGCAATTTGTAGAAAACATCTTTTGGTTTAGTTTCTATTTCACTCTCGCGTCTACAGGTTGCTAAGTGTTATCGCTATTTATCTTAAATTACAAGTACCCTAAATGATTTTCCGTTCAGTCTTCGGTCGCACCTCTGTTATTACATACGGCAGACGTGATTAAATTGTTAATAACAATAATACAATACTTTTGTCATTCGTATTATAATCCATCTATCCAAACTGATATATGCGTCCATGCAAAAACGTGGATGACATCAACACAAAATTTAACATTATATACATATTTTTATTTTAGCTTATAGTGGTTGTCATAAAAAACAATAAAATTCGCAAAATCAAATCTTTTAATTTTTCGAACGAGCTGGATTTGACAAGCTGTACTTTAAGGGCGAGGGAAGTTCTGTCGAAGTAATCTTCGACCAAATTTTTCATTTTTTAAACTTAAAGTAGTTTGTCTTCAGGTTTTAGTCCTACGAGTTCTACAGTCTTCTTCCAAAGTTTCCTAGCTAGTTCTGGATCCGCTGCGTTTTTGTACGGTTTCACTTTTCTACAACAATCAAAATGCTCTCCACTATCCTTCTCGATTCCTTTAGCTACCGAGCAATAAATAGTAGTTTGGGCACCTTCTTCGCACGTCTAAAATTACTTATAAGTCAGATTTTTGTATACATTCGGGATTAGTAACTAACAATGGAAAACAACTTCGCCAGACTGTTAACCACCACTTTCTTAACACCACGAAAATTATGAAAAATTTCTGTTCCTACAAAACCTGGATGCAGAGAGTAGGTCGTCACATCGCTCCCTTCCAGCCTTTTTGCCAACTCTATCGTAAACAAAATATTGCATAATTTTGAATGTTGGTAGTCCCTACTATGAAAAACAAAATCGTCAATATTGTCTGGATCAAAATTAGAGGCCATCTTTGCACCTATAGACGACACGTTGACAATACGACTGGGTGCAGATTTCTTTAATAAATCTGCAAGCAAACTGTCAAAACAAAAAATCAATTACAGGAAATCTTCACCTAAAAGCAGATTCGTCAAAAGGAAACTGGACAGATAATTAACTTGCATCAATAGAGCACGCCCATCCGCAGTTCTTTTGTGCTCGAGTTCAACAGCACCGGCATTGTTGACCAAAATGTCAATTCGATCTTCCGTCTCGTTGATTTGCTTTGCAAAAGCTCTGACTGAGTCAAAAGACGCCATGTCGATAATTCGGACAATAATGTTGTCATTGTCGGTTTCGTCTATTATTTTTTTGCGAGCCTCTTCCGCCTTTTGTTTGTTCCTGCAAGCTAAAATTACTTTTGCGCCTCGTTGAGCGAAGTCGAGCGCCGTCTCGTAACCAATTCCTACAAAAAATGGCAATGCAAATTTGTTTGTGTTACATAATCACGTACCGCAATTCGATCCGGTAACTATGGCGGTTTTACCGACCAGACAAACGTGACTTTTACATCTTCGAGTGATTATTTTAATGTAAAGTTTTAAAGCGGCTACTGATGCTGAGAGAATAATTAGAATGGTTAGTAGGAGACCCATTTTACTAATAGTTTTTTATTGCTTGGAAATTGGTGCTACTTATAACGAGAGCGCCGACAGGAGCGACCTTAAGTGAGTCATAGGCGTGCGCGCGCTCGGGTACGAAACAATGATTTTCTACTGCAAATTTGGAGCTACATATCTTCAACTGAATGTAACTGTGACTGAATTTGAAAGAAAATGACCCTTTTGTAATGCATAGTTAGTGAACTGAAGGCTTGTCTCTACTGAGCGACGTTCAGGGTTCAAGTGTAAAATGGAACGGTTCTATCTGCCTCTCCGATGACTTGTAACTTATTATTACTTAATACTATTCCAGAGATAACTGAAACTAATATGCGCATGATCTATAAGCTGCGTATCGCCTAAAATAGATTTATAATTTTCGTATAATCTACATATACCACGACATCTACAAGCTGTAGCGATTCCCTTCTTTTTCACAGGTCAAGCGCTTGCTTTGACCTTACTGTTTATTTTTTTAAGAATGTGAAAGAATCGTGGAGACACATATTATCTCTTGCTTTAAAGAATGGGAAATAATCTTGGGCATTCCTAATGTCTTTTATTTTAAAAAATGTAAAATATCTCGGACGTATAAAGAACACTGTGTTTGATTTTCTCAGTGTTTAAAAACAAGCTTTTCAGTTTTCTCCCAGAGTTTCTGAGGCAGTTTTGCATCAGTCGCAGTCTTGTAAGGTGCCACCCTTTGGCAACAACTGAAATGTTCACCATTATATTTCTCAATTCCTTTAGCCACTGAACAATAAATATTGGTTTGGGGAGTTTGGGCGCCTTCTTCGCGCGTCTAAAAGTTAAACAATCACATTTTGACTTCCCCTCAACAGTAACTCACAATTGAAAATAGTTTAATTATAATTATAAAAAGTATGTTTTTCAATCCAGTGACATTGTTATAAAAGCCCGTTTCTATGATCCCTGGATGGAGGGAATATGTTGTCACTTTCGCACCTCGAAGTCTCTTAGCTAATTCAATGGTAAACAAGATATTACACAATTTCGAAAAAGCATGGTCGTAATTATTCGGAGCAAACTCGTCAATCTTGTTAACATCAAATTGGCCCGCTTTTCTGCCAGCCATAGACGATACGTTTACAATACGCCCAGCAGTTGACTTCTTTAACAAATCTAAGAAAAAAATTAATCAAAACTAAAACACACCTACTCACCTAGCACGAGATTCGTCAACAGAAAACTCGAGAAGTAATTAACTTGCATCAGAAGAGGATGTCCATCGACCGTTTTTTTCTTCTCAAGCCCATAAGCACCAGCATTGTTAACCAAAATATCTATGTGATCCTCCGTTTCCTCCATTTCTTTTGCAAACTTTCTAACTGAATCGAAAGACGCCATGTCGACAATTCGGACAAAAATTTTCTCATTTTGAGTTTCTTGTATTATTTTTCTGCGGGCCTCTTCCGCTTTCGATTTGTTTCTGCAAGCTAAAATTACTTTGGCACCTCGTTTAGCGAAGTCCAGGGCCGTCTCGTACCCAATTCCTACAATTCGATGACGATGTTAATTTTTGGCATTATCATGATTGCACTTACCGGCTAGCTACTTTACCTTCCAGACAAACTTGGCTTTTACACATGCGAGTAATACTCTTAATGTAGAGTTTTAAAAGTGCTATGGCTGCAAGAATGACACTTAAAATAATTTTTAAGACACCCATTTTTTAGTACTTTATTTAGTTGCGTGAGGAGGTTAAATGTTGATAATGTTTACATTTAAACTTATAGTGACAAATTTCATGATAATATTGTTATCTTTTGATATGGAATTACAAGCGAATTTTTTCGGTTTCTTGTAAGTTAACAATGTCTTCAGTTATCTTCCACAATTTCGAACAAACTTCTAAGTTTCTTGCTTTCCAGTAGTCGGCGACTTTCCTACAGTTGTCAAAATGACAACCACTGAACTGCTCGATATTTTTTTCCATCGAACAATAAATAATCGTTTGGATGCCTTCTTTCACAGACTACAAAATAAAAAATTTTGAAAACGTTGACCTTTTGCTCCAGCTTACTTTATAAAATAAAGCCACTATCAACTGAAACAATGTTTTAACCATGCCCTTTGTTTGTCTCATAATTTCTGTTTTAATAGCACCGGGATGTAAAGAGTAAGCTGTAATGTTCGTCGTTTCGAGCCTTTTAGCGAGTTCCTTGGTAAACATATTCAAACATAATTTAGAGTGTTCATAAGTCTTCATATACCCTCGAAATTCGTCAAGATTGTCCAAATGGAAACGCAAGCAGTGTGACGCTATTATCGAAGAAACGTTAACTATTCTGCTAGGGTCGCCAGATTTTCGCATTAGTTCTATCAACAAGTGAGTTAGAAGGAAATGAGAATAGTAATTCACTTGCATCGTGAGATCATGTCCATCCAAGCTCTTAGTGTCATCAGCAAAAGCTATCCCGGCATTGTTTACCAAAATATCTAGACGATCTTCAGTTTGAGTCAATTCTCTGGCAAAAGCTCTTACAGAGTAGAAAGAACTGAAGTCCACGATTTTCGTCGAAATGTTTGGGTTGTCTGTTTCTTCGATGATTTTCTGGCAGGCTTCTTTAGCCCGTTGTGGGTTTCTGCAGGCTAAGATTACCTTTGCCCCTCTTTTGGCAAAGTCGAGGGCCGTTTCATAGCCTAAACCTGTCGAAAAATGTGTAGTAATAAGTAATTTATAACAAAATAAAAATCACTTTTTATAAAACAATGTTTGTTATTTTTGTATTTTTTAAAAAAATTAAAACTTTAAATAGAAATAAAGTACGAAAAATAGTTGGCACTTTTAAACCCCGCAACTATATATTCAAAATACGTAAGATGCATCAAATTCAACCAACCTGTGTTTGCGCCCGTTATAACTGCAGTTTTTCCAATCAAACACTTTTCACTTCGGCACCATCTCGTAGGCCAACTTAGATAAATTCTCACGAAGATACAGAATATCACGATAAAAAGAAAAAATCCAGGCAGAAACAAAATCATTTTTAATTGCGTTTATGAAAAACTACGCACTAACATAACAGGGAACTTTTCGATAACTGAGTGCCAGTAGGTTTTTGCATCAAGGTGAATTTTTTCCAAAAACCGGAATGTAAATGTGGCACGAAAAAAATGCATTTAATTAACTGTGCCATGCAGATGAGCGTAATATATAAGAAAGTATTTTTTTATTGAAAATGAATCATATTTTCCGGGATTATCTTAATAGAGCATACAAACGTTATTGAGTTTAGAATTTTTTATCATTTTGTCCTGTTTTACGATAAAAAATAATCAGTGAAATCATTACTTTGTCTGTAAAGACCAAGACTATCTGACCTTGTGTATAAACACTCATTTTTAGTACATTTTGAAAAACCAGTTTACCGTCTTTAATATATTTTCTTCTTTTCCGGGAATGGTAGATTAGGGTACAGATTTATTGGTAACAGTCACCAGGTGCACGCATATAAAAATATAATATTTTGTTACAAAGCTGCTGTCGAAAAATATTTACAAAAGCAAACAAAAAAATAAAAGAACTGTTACAAAAAATATATGTAAATAAAGGATAAGATTTTTTCTTAAAACAAACGAAATAAATACGTAGTTAGGTAGGTACAAAATTACTGAACTTTTAGCTTTAGTTTTGACAAAAAGGAAATTGAAATCTATCTCGCCTCAAAGTTCTTGCAGTCAAAGTTTTATAAATTTGGTGTTTTTCTACAATGCGCTCATCCTTTGTTATGGGATATGTAAAATACTCTCCCATTTTTGCAGATTGTTGACTGCGCAAAAAATTTACATAGCACATACTATCTGGCTCAATTATTTCTGTGACACAGCCTACATAATACTTAAAACTATTTTTGCGAGAAAGAAACTTTACGAAAAAGGCAGTTCCTAAGTTTATTTCAAGATCAGTCTCATCAGTTTCTTCAGAGGTAGTGGCAACTTCAGTCTCATGGGTAACAGTTAAATCATCAGTCTCTATCTCATCTTCTTTTTCGGAATGTTCAATTTCTTCAGGTTCGCTTGTATTATTTTCTTGTTCCGGTTAATTTTTGCTAGATTCGCACCCTGCATCTTTGGAACTTAATCCCTTGCCGGCGGAAACATTTAAACTTTAAGATCTACTTTCCTGAAGAAATTCTTTAAAGTTTTGGGTACATTGGTCCGGGTGAGCGTCTTGTTCTTCATCAGTTTTGTTTGAGATTTTGTTAATGACGATTTCACGATTTAGGGGAAAAATTCCGAAAGCGCGGAAACCAGATTGAATGCAATATTTGATATTCACATTGGTTTCAATTGCTTTTTTTAACAGGCGGTGAAACACCGACTTTGGAATAACACCTCGGTTTTTCATCTTCCACTCAGAGAGAATGGCTTTCCAAGATTTTTTCGGTGGGCCAGAAATGGCAACGTCCAGTGTTTGCAACAAATGCGTTGCATTTGGGGGTAAAACAGGAATGTATGTTCTGTGTTTCACAGGCTCTAAAAACACCTGGCTGGCCAAGCTATCGCCTATTAAAACTTTTTTTCCCGGTGGGAGTTTGACAAAATACGGCAGTAGGATTCGATCGAATCAGTCTTTTCATTTTAAAGAATGTGAAAGAATCTCGGAAGTATAAAGAACACTGTGTGACTGTGTGTTTGATTTAATCATTTATTTATGTCAATAATACATATTTTTCAAACTTAAAAGGGATTTTTGTGTTTGAAAACAAGCTTTTCAGTTTTCTCCCAGAGTTTCTGAGGCAGTTCTGGGTCACTTGCAGTCTTGTAAGGTTCCACCCTTTCGCAGCAGCTGAAATGTTCACCATTATATTTCTCAATTCCTTTAGCCACTGAACAATAAATATTGGTTTGGGCACCTTCTTCGCACGTCTAAAAATTAAACAATCACATTTTGGCTTCCACTCAACAGTAGGAACTCACAATTGAAAACAATTTAATTATAATTATAAAAAGCAATTTTCTTAATCCAGTAATATTGTTAAAAATGTCTGTTTCTATGAACCCTGGATGGAGGGAATATGTTGTCACTTTCGTACCACGAAGTTTCTTAGCTAATTCAATCGTAAACAAGATATTACACAATTTCGTAAAGGCATAGTCGGAATTATTCGGGGCAAACTCGTCAATTTTGTTAATATCAAACTGGTCCGCTCTTTTTCCAGCCATAGACGACACGTTTACAATACGGCCAGCGGTTGACTTCTTTAACAAATCTAAGAAAGAAATAGTGCAAAATTAAAACACACCAACTCACCTAGCACTAGATTAGTCAACAGAAAACTCGAGAAGTAATTAACTTGCATCAGAAGAGGATGTCCATCGACAGTTCTTTTCTTCTCAAGCGCATAAGCACCAGCATTGTTAACCAAAATATCTATGTGATCCTCCGTTTCTTCCATTTCTTTTGCAAACTTTCTGACTGAATCAAAAGACGCCATGTCGACAATTCGGACAAAAATTTTCTCATTTTGCGTTTCTTGTATTATTTTTCTGCGGGCTTCTTCCGCTTTCGATTTGTTTCTGCAAGCTAAAATTACTTTGGCACCTCGTTTAGCGAAGTCCAGGGCCGTCTCGTAACCAATTCCTACAATTCGATGACGATGTTAATTTATTGCACTATCATGATTGCACTTACCGGTATTGGCTCCCGTCACTACAGCTATTTTACCTTCCAGACAAACTTGGCTTTTACACATGCGAGTAATACTCTTAATGTAGAGTTTTAAAAGTGCTACGACTGCAAGAATGACACCTAAAATAATTTTTAAGGCACCCATTTTTTAGTACTTTATTTAGTTGCGTAAGGAGGTTAAATGATAATGTTTACATTTAAACAGATAATGACAAGTTTCGTGATAACATTATTATCTTTTGATATGGAATTACAAGCGAATTTTTTCGGTTTCTTGTAAGTTAACAATGTCTTCAGTTATCTTCCACAATTTCGAACAAACTTCCAAATTTCTTACTTTCCAATAGTCGGCGACTTTCCTGCAGTTGTCAAAATGACAACCACTGAACTGCTCAATATTTTTTTCTATCGAACAATAAATAATCGTTTGGATGCCTTCTTTCACAGACTACAAAATAAAAAATTTTGAAAACGTTAACCTTTTGTTCAAACTTACTTTATAAAATAAAGCCACTATCAACTGAAACAATGTTTTAACCTTGCCCTTTGTTTGTCTCAAAATTTCTGTTTTAATAGCACCGGGATGCAAAGAGTAGGCTGTAATGTTCGTCGTTACGAGCCTTTTAGCGAGTTCTTTAGTAAACATATTCAAACATAATTTCGAGTGTTCATAATTATTCACATTCCCTCGAAACTCGTCAAGATTCTCCAAATGGAAACGCAAGCAGTGTAATGCTGCTTTCGAAGAAACGTTAACTATTCTGCTAGGGTCGCCAGATTTTCGCATCAGTTCTATCAACAAGTGAGTGAGAAGGAAATGAGAATAGTAATTCACTTGCATCGTGAGATCATGTCCATCCAAGCTCTTAGTGTCATCAGCAAAAGCTATCCCGGCATTGTTTACCAAAATATCCAGACGATCTTCAGTTTGAGTCAATTCTCTGGCAAAAGCTCTTACAGAGTAGAAAGAACTGAAGTCCACGATTTTCGTAGAAATGTTTGGGTTGTCTGTTTCTTCTATGATTTTCTGGCAGGCTTCTTCAGCCCGTTGTGGGTTTCTGCAGGCTAAGATTACCTTTGCCCCTCTTTTGGCAAAGTCGAGGGCCGTTTCATAGCCTAAACCTGTCGAAAAATGTGTAGTAATAATTCGACATAACAAAATAAAAATCAGTTTTAATAAAACAATGTTTGTTATTTTTGTGGTAACGCAAAGTTTTATTGTCAAATTTGACCAAAATCATATTTTGTATTTTTCAAAAAATTTAGAACTTTAAATAGAAATAAACAACTTATATTCAAAAGAGGTACGATGCATAAAAATTCAACTAACCTGTGTTTGCGCCCGTTATAACTGCAGTTTTTCCAAGCAAACACCTTTCACTTCGGCACCATCTCGTAGGCCAACTTAAATAAATTCTCACAAGGATGCAGAATATCAGAAGAAAAAGAAAAAATCCAGGCAGGAACAAAGTCATTTTTAAGCGCGTTTATTGAAAAACTACGCACTAACGTAGCAGGGAACTTTTCGGTAACTGGGTGCCAGTAGGTTATTGCACCAATGTGAGATTTTTCCCAAAACCGGAATGTAAATGTGGAACGAGAAAAATTCATTTAATTAACTGTGCCATGCAGATGAGCGTAATATTTAAGAAAGTATTTTTTATTGAAAATGAATCATATTTTCCGGGATTATCTTAATAGAGCATACACTCGTTCTTGAGTTTATAATTTTTATCATTTTGTACTGTTTACGATAAAAAATAATCAGTGAAATCATAACTTTGCCTGCAAAGATCAAGACTATCTAACCTTGTGTCTGAACACTCATTTTTAGTTGATTTTGATAACCAGTTTACCGTGTTTAAAATATTTTTTCCTTTTCCGGGATTGGTGATTTTGGTTTTTAACTGTACGCTTTCATTAGGGTTCAGGTTTATTATTAACAGTCACCAGGTACAAGTATATAAAAATATAACAATTTGTTACAAATCGGCTGTCAAAAAGTATTTAAAAAAACGACTATCAAAACGCTATTTTCTCAGCTTCTTGTAAGTGAACGATTGGTTCAGTTAATTCCCAAAGTTTCTCTGCAAGGTGTGGAACTCTTGTAGTCCTGTAATCTTCCACTTTTCTGCAGTTATCAAAATGACAGCCACTAAACCGTTCTATGCCTTTCTGCACTGAACAGTAAATATTAGTTTGGGCACCTTCTTCAACAGGCTAAAAACATAAATTATACCAAATTCGTAGCAAACTTTAAACTTACTTTATAAAACAAAGCCACCACAATCTGGAGTGCCACTTTGGCAAAACCTTTCGCCAATCTAAAAATGTCTGTTTTGATAGTCCCGGGATGTAACGAATACACCGTGATGTTCGTATCCCGTAGTTTCCGAGCTAGCACTTTAGTAAACAAAATATTGCACAATTTCGAATTAGCATAAGCCGCCATATTCCCCGGAAATTTCTGGAGGTTATTTACATCGAAATTGTTCGCATGTGCTGCCGCCAGCGACGACGTGTTGACTATCCGACTAGGGTCGCCGGACTTCATCATCAAACCTGTTTTTGTTTTTGAGTAAAATTACGCCGCCAATTTTTTAAATACTAACCTATCAATAAGTGGGTTAGCAGATAGTGGGAGTAATAATTAACTTGCATGACAATATCACATCCGTCTTCGGTTTTTACATCATCACCAAACGATATCCCAACATTGTTGGCCAAAATATCGAGGCGGTCTTCGCTTTCGTTGATTTCTTTGGCGAAAGCTCTTATTGAATCGAACGAAGTGAAGTCCACAATTTTGACAAAAATTTTTGGGTTGTCTGTTTCTTCGATGATTTTGCGGCGAGCTTCCTCTGCTCGGGCGCGATCTCTGCACGCAAGAATTACTTTTGCACCTCTTTTGGCGAAGTCCAGAGCGGTTTCGAAACCTATGCCTAAACAAAAATAAACATCAGCGAATTTTACGTTTAGATTGTTTATATTAATGAAGAGAAAAAACAAACGGACACTATGGTTTTCGGGATAACTGTTTTTAATGTGGTATGTAGTATTTATTTAAAAAAATGTTGTCATCGTTCCGCGTGGTTCAAAGTCTTAATTTGTAGACTTTTTTCTTATCTTGTCTTGATAAAGATATAAAAAAATGCAAACTTATACGTGCTGACTAAGGGGCCAATTCCAAGTTGGTGGCGCAAATCACTGGTGCAGCGCAACTTTATAATGCTAACTTGGGTATCAAATGCTGGTTGCTAGGGGTGACGGAATCAACAAACGCAGTTTTGTCGAACTTTCCATTGAAATTTGCACCATGGAGTTGCGGCACCTCTAGTAGGCAGTGCAAGTTGGCGCAATTTATCTCGAAAAATTGCGCTTGTTTATTCCGTCACCCCTAGCAACCAGCATTTGATACCCAAAATAGCATTATAAAGTTGCGCTGCACCACTGACTTGCGCCACCAACTTGGAATTGACCCCTAAGTGTGTAAATTATCGTTTTAGTCGATAAGATTAAAAATTCACACAATATACTATTTATAAGAGGAATGTTCCTTGATCTAAAAATTTAAGTAAAAAAATTTGTTGGAGTCCTGTTGATTTTTTTATTGCAAGTGTAGATATGCCACTCTGTATATAATAATTGAGCGCGACGTACCTGTATTAGCTCCAGTGATGATTGCAGTTTTACCAACTAAGCAGCGTTGACTTCGGCACCATCTCGTAGGCCAGCCGAAATACATCTTGATGCCGATAAACAATGCCGCAATTAAGGCGACAAGAATGAGCAAAACCGAGTAACAACTCATCTTATTTCGTCTTAAACAAAACTTAAACTGACTTACATTTATTTTCTCAGTCGTCAGTCACAGTGGTGGCGTTATCTGAAACCAGCAAGGGCATGTTAAAAACATAAACAACCGTGTTATGCTATTAAATAGCACTCAGTATTATCAACTTACTGTATTACAACTGTGTTATAAACACGCACGTTGTTTCGATCCGTTGTAATCAATGCCAGCAAATGTAAGGACTACTGACCTGCGCAAAAGTATAGAAACGAAGAAACGAATTATGTAAAAGCATAACACGTAACAATAAAATTGTACAAAAAGTACCTTGTTAATTGAAAAATGCAAGGCTAACTTGGTTATAATTTAAATTGTCTGATAAATGCAATTGCACTGACTAGTTTTGGAAATCAGTATTCAGTTAATTACATCGGTTTTAGATAAACAACATAAAACAAAGGTCGTCAAATTAACATCCACTTCAAATAACCAGCCTACGTTAAATCAAACTTCATAATAATAAACACACTCATGTATTTATATTTGTGTTTAACTGTGACAAACGGTAATTTTTAATAGATCGCTCCAGAAGTAATGTATACTAGACATTGTGAAGTTCAGAAGTAAATGAACGGATGGAATGGCTTGGTTTGTCCTTGGTGGCGGTGTACCTGGGTGCCAAGCTTTGGGCCGACGAGTGTCGCTGATTTAAAAACACTGCGGCGACCTTCACGCCGCCGGGGGTGGTGCTTTCGGTCAGGAGCGGAGGAGGGAGCGCCGGGGTTGCTCTAAAGCCGGAGACACGGATATCAGGTGGTGAGCGCCCGCGAAAATAAGAAAATAAAATAAAACGACAAGAGATATTTTACAATAAATAGGGTTTATTCCCTGCCACCAGCTATACGGCTAAAATAATAAAATCTTACGGTTAAACTTCACTTAAATAAATATAAAATGATTTTACAAACAAAATAATAACACGTCAGGCAGAGTCGTTCCTCCTGGGCGGCGACTTCCTTCAGGACGGGCTCCTCCTGAACTTGGGGGCGGCGACCTTAAAACTGGAAATCGCGCGAGGACGGTACAGTTTAATAAATGAATGAATGAATGAATGAATGAATGAATGAATGAATGAATGAATGAATGAATGAATGAATGAATGAATGAATGAATGAATGAATGAATGAATGAATGAATAAATAAATAAATAAAAAATCCGTCTGATCTTTTGCCGGAAACATCCAGATTTTTGAAAAAAAATCAAAAATTTTGCAATTTAATTTTGCAAACGTTTTAAGGTTAACATAATCATGGCAAATCGTTAATCAAAATTTATCCGTTTACGGTCTCCCAAAAAACGGACGACGTCTCAAAACATATTGCTGAAAATTCTATAAATTTGGACCACTTTTTTAATAAAACCTAAATGTGCTTGCTGCGCTCGCCTTCTAAAAGCTCTTTCTTTAAAGTTTAATTTCAGAAATATTCAAGAAAGTGTTTTAACGAAATGGTTTGGAATCATTTATAATAATAATTTTGTAGATTTTCGGAAACTCACCCTTAGAATACGAGCGCAGTGCGCACATTCAGTTCTTCTCATCATTAGTAATCACAATTGTTCTAGAGATATACTTCTTCGTACGCCATAAATAATGTTTTTGTCATAATTTAGCTTCCCAGGAACAACAGTGGATTATTTTTAATAACACCTACACATGCTCGCTGTGCTCCCATTCTAAGCGATTTCTTTTTGCATTAAACCCTATTTAAAGAAATGAATACGACTCCTAATGCAATGGAAGAAGCGTCAGTTTGTAAAATAAAAGTGTTATATTCTGCAAACTTTGAATACTGTAAAATTTACTAAAGCATTTTGCGATGTTTCAAAAGAGTTTTGACATTCCAGGTTCCAGCTAAATTGCGTGAGCTATGTAAAGTTTTTTCTCTTCTTCGTTCCTTATTTTTTCTCAAAACAACACGATAATGGTTCAAACATATTTCACTCCGAAATTTCTATGGATTTTGCGGTTAGCTGCACCCGTCGGTCTCACGAGGAATAAAAAAATTCATCACAATTGAGATGGGGCGGGTGGGCGGGGCTTATCCATTTCAATAATAAAATACTTAAAATAATCTAATGGTGATCTCGAGATTAGAATTATGTTTTAAGTAGTAGTTGTTGAAAGTAAACTCTATACATTAAGAAAAAGAAGCCAATGATTAAGCCCCACCCACCCGCCCCTATCTCCAATGTGATGAATTTTTCATTTATTGTCACTTCGAAGGACGGAGCTTAATTACAAAATCCACATTTTTTTAGAAAAATTTACCATTTTCGAAATGTTTTAAGTTCCTTGTTGCGGAAAGATGACTATAGACGTATATTTACGTAGCATTTTCGAGTTAAGTTTTTACTTTACACAATTTTGTGTGACGCAATCAATATTTTTGCAAGGACACGTGTATCAACTTGGATTGGTGCAGTGTATTACTAAAGATAACAGTATTGTATTTCCCAAAATTTTCTGGGAAAATGGAGTGAGCCCTTCCTGATTTAAGCGATAAAATAAATTAACTCATTCATTAATTTTTTGAGCCACTTGTTTAACCAAATTTAAAAAATATTAATGCAATGATAAATCACAAGTATTAGGTACGTTCCAGCTTTTCCAAAGCTCAAGGCAACTTTTACTTTTAAAAGGGGGCAATCACAGTGTTGTTTGCGAGTACCTCCCTTAGATATCGCTCGGGAAGTAAAAACAAACCTTATAAATTTGAAACTAACTTTTATGAACAATTTCGTGGTATCGATCTTTCCTAATAGGTCCCCTTGTTTGCTTTATTTTACTACAATTACGTGGTACCTAGTCATCATTAATTTTTTTTTTTTTTTTGAGATTCACAGTTCCTTCACAGAGTTACACTGAAATACCAAAACCGTTAATCTGTGAAATATTTACGTTATCTCTATACGTAAGTACTACAGGAATCTGTATTATATGACCACAAAAATAGTGATAAGACGCTAGATAAAGATGTTGTGGTGTGGTGTGGTGTGGTGAGTGCGATAGTGTAGTAGTTTATTTACAGTCTATCGAGTGCCAATGTATTTTCTCCGTTCCAATTAATCTACAACCTAAATTTCACAACTTGGCATACAAATTTTTCTGATTTGATTTAACTTTTATTCATTGTGTATTATCTTATCAACCTAATCTGACTCATAAAGAATCGTTCAGGCAAACCGTGAACATGTGGTCGAACAAGAACAAAGAAAAGGAGGGTAAAAAAGTTATAACGTGAGTACTTTCGTCTAGAATAAATTCTAAAAACAGTAATTGTTTGTGTTTTAGGACCACCCAAACTCGGTATGTAACAGAAACGAGTCAGACTGTGTCTGTCAGGTAAACAAATTTCAGGGGTACCAACATTTTTTTATTTTTCCCTTCATTTACAGAACAACGACGGTTGAAAATCGAAATCGTTCCATCTCAATGTCTGGGGCTCCACTCGGAGGAAGCAGAGACTTAATACCGTCCAGCTCCATGTCCCGAATAGGTAAAATAATAATAACTCAAAAAAACATAAAAATTATTCATCTGGACGTCTTTTCTTAGATAAAAATTTCTTGCCGTTACCGTCTAATACAATCCCAAAGGCTACTTCGGCCTCTAATCTAGGCAGAACTTCTGTGGATGCTCGGCCACTAATAGGACATAATGTAAACTTGAATTATCAAAGCCCCTACCGAAATTCAGCAGTATACAGCAGCTTCCAGAACAATTCTAGGCCTAATACAGCTAATGTCGTATCACCGATCAAACTCCCACCACCACCTAGCACACTCACCTCAAACACAAATAATACAATTTTCCGCAGGGCTCTACCTGCCACAATAGTTCCTGCCAGTCAACCCACAAATAAAAAAATTCAAGTCAAAAAAACCGGAAAGTTCTACGACAGTTCAGGTCCAATTCCTGTAGCAATCCCCACGTACGACACACATTCGAGAATTCGAGGTGAAATTCTTATAATCAACAATATCATGTTTAAAGACAAAGGTGAACGTCACGGAGCGAAAGTAGATCATGAAAACCTAGAAGCTCTATTCAAACAAATGGGGTTTAAAGTAACGACAGAGCGTGATCTTAAAAGTTCTGGTATGAGATCAAAAGTGAGAAATTTTAGTAAAAAAAGTTCTTTGAAAAATGTCGATATCGCGATTATGGTGGTTATGAGCCACGGAACGAAGAATACCACCTTGGGAGGAACAGAAGTGTTCGGTTTGGACGAACAGGGAGTAAATGTCGAGGAGTTAATTGAGATTTTCAATGAAACGGACTGCAAGTACATGGCCAACAAACCCAAAATTTTCATATTTCAGTGCTGCAGGTGAGGATTTCTACTACTAGTAGTTTGTTTTTTTAATGATGAAACTTTAATTGTGTAGAGGTGACAATGAACAGTTTGTAGAAAGTGATACCCAACGAATCCCTGCGAAAAAAACGGCACTAACTGATGCTCTTATTGCGTATTCCACATTACCTGGTTAGTTAGTATCAACGTAACTATCATAAGAAAGTAACACTTTTTGTTGGTTTTAGGGTATGTTTCTCACAGAGATCCGGTCAGTGGCACTTGGTACATTAGAACTCTGTGTGATGTGTTTAGCCAACACGCCCATGAATACCATGTTGAAGATTTGTTGAAGATGGTTGATGTCAAACTCAGTAGAATAGCTAGCAATATCAGACAGACGACTAACTATGAAAATAGGGGTTTCAAGCGATGTTATTTGCATCCGGTTTAATAACCGAACTTGAACATGTTAGATAATTATCTTCACAAATATTTTATTGATGTATATTGTTAATAAATCTTGTTAAATTGTACAACTTGACTTTCTGTATTGCAGGAAAGTATTATAACATGACCAATAAAGTATTCTATAAATTTTGGCTGGTACTGATTTTTTAGTCAAAATGTATCTGTTTATCAACCCCAAAAAATTGATCGTCATCTCAAAATTTTTCCGAATAATGAGTCCGTTAATAATGGACAATTTCTATTTTACAATTTAACTGTCAAATGCACAAACCGATGCATGGCAGCATAGGTTTTATTATTATCAATAGTGCCAACGTAATGTCACAAAATACTAACAATGCTGACAGTGATGACGAGTCTCAAAGAAACGACTCCTATCAAAGGTAGAAGAACGTTTCACACGTACAATATACAGCGACGAAACACACTTAGAGCATGCAAAATCGTCTCAGATTAGAAAAATGAGACGTTTGGGTCAATTTTATGCATTCTGCCGTTCGTAGATACAAGAAAATTGTTAAAATACTTCAGAAGCGTCACTTTTGAAGTGTTTTCTTGTAATTTCAAGCGAATCAGAAACCCTACGGGCTCGGAAAGAGCAACGAAACCATCAAATTTTAGCTAGAAACTGTATTTTTGTCGATTTTTATTGAATTTGAACTATATTTCAACGTTTTTTGATGGTTCTGAGCCACCAAACACACTTAAAGCATGCAGAATCGTCTCAGATTAGGAAAAGGAGACGTTTGGGTCAATTTTATGCATCCTGGCGCTCGTAGATACAAGAAAATTGTTAAAATTCTTCAGAAACGTTACTTTTGAAGTGTTTTCTTGTAGTTTTAAGCCAATCAGAAACCCAACGGGCTCGGAAAGAGCAACGAAACCATCATTTTAGCTAGAACAGTATTTTTGTCGATTTTTATTAAATCTGAACTATATTTCAACATTTTTTGATGATTCTGAGCGACGAAACACACTTAGAGCATGCAGAATCGTCTCAGATTAGGAAAAGGAGACGTTTGGGTCCACCAATGTGCTCGCTCGTTGCTGTTGCCCGGCAAGAACCAAACAATACGAGGAGGTCTGGAGCGCGTCTTGCCAGGAAAGGAGAGGGCTAGGATTTGTTAATGAGAAATAGGACGTTATTCAGTGCAATAGAAATACAATATACAATGCAGGTGGATCTAGATGCGATACAGCTAGAATACAGAATACAATACAGACCCAGATACAGATACAGATACAATACAGTTGCATGGTTAGTACTCAAGCACATACAAAACAAGAAGAAATCTCTGGCACCCAAAATTGAGACCCACTTTAAGAAAGGCGATACCTGAATGTTGCAAAAAGAGTACCCAAGCAAGCACACCGATGGAACTCGGAACGAAATCTATAGGTCGCAGTGCTCCTTCGCCCAAGGGAGAAACGCAGCCGGATAAACCCAAGGTCGTCTGACCTCATTCTCAAAAAATGATGCAACCCAGCGTCTAAGGGTCAACAGAACCCCCCCAGGCCATGAGCTTCTGACGACATGGAGAATTCAGACTCGGAACCAAAGGATACACTGTTGCAAAATTAATACCCAAGCAAGTACACCATGAAAACCCACAAAGCATTTCCACACTGGAGCTAAATTGGCAAGACACCCACTGTTGCAAAGTTAAGTTAGTAATACATACAATATACATTACAGTATGCTTCAATTACAAAAGTTACAAGATACACACAGCTTCACGTTTGCAACCAAAGAGCGATGACTGTGCTTGCTCGATGCTGTTGCCCGGCAAGAACCAAACAATACGAGGAGGTCTGGAGCGGGTCTTGCCATGAAAAGAGAGAACTAGGGTTTGCTAGTGAAGGACTTTGTAAATTATGGACGCTGTACTTTATAAATGAACGTCGAACGTATAGCGTTGACAAACCAACTTCAATCGTTTCGAAAATTTCCCCAAAATTTTAATATTATCGAGTAAACGAATCACGGAACCCGATAAATTAAAATTGAAGTCATACGTACCCCGTTTTCGGTACTTTTTGGAAAAATATCCACTTTCGTTCGTGTTCATAGTACCAACACAACACATTTTACTAATGTTTATTAATAATAAATTGGAAATTCGTGAAAATAAGCCAAACCGGAGCTCCGATGTTGCTGCCAGCAGACCGAAATCTAAACACAACACAAGGGCCCGAAAAATGTGACCTTTGCTCAGGTAGCTCACGTAACAGTAACGTCATCGTACGTCACCATGAGATTGCGAAAATTATTTTTCATATTTCGGCCGGGAAATTGCACATTTTCGGGGTTAATTTAATAATATTTAAACAAATTGCTTTGTTTTTAGTAACTTTGCGTTTTGAAGAAAACGATGTTCGATTTAATTATCATATTAATTATATTTAAATATTATTTAATTATATCGTGAAAATGTATAGCTTTGATCGACCAACTTCAATCGTTTCGAAAATTTCCCCAAAATTTAAACTTTGTCGAGTAAACGAATCACGGAACCTGATAAATTAAAACTGAAGTCGTATTTATCCTGTTTTCGGTCCTTTTCGGAAAAATATCCACTTTCTCTCGTGTTCACAACAATAACACATTTTTCCTAATATTTATTAATAATAAATTAAAAATTCGCGAAATTGCTCTACTTTTACGCCAAAATGACGCGACGATCTTGTCGCCATCAAACAGAAATTAAAATTGAACACAAAGGACCGAAAAACGTGACCTTTGGACAGGTAGCTCACGTGAAAGTGACATCATCGCACGTCACGATGAGACTGCAAAAATTATTTTTCATATTTTGGCCGGGAAATTAGACACTTTCAGGATTGACTTAACAATATTTAAACAAATTGCTTTGTTTTTAATACCATCGTGTTTTTAGTAAAACGGTTTTCGGTTTGATTATCAATTATCATATATTAATAGTTACTTACCATATTTGAACATTATAAATAATATTAAGTATGTCTAAATTTGATTTCAACCGTTTCGAAATTTTTTCCAAAATTTAAACATTGTCGAGTAAATGAATCACGGAATTTGATAAATTAAAACTGAAGTCGTAGTTCCCCGTTTTCGGCCCCTTTCGGAAAAATATCCACTTTCGTTCGTTTTCACAGTACTAACACAACACATTTTCACTAATATTTATCAATAATAAATTAGAAATTCGCGAAAAGAAGTCTACATTTAAGCCAAAATATTTTGCCTTTTTTTCTTGTTCGTAATCTTCTTTTCGCAACAGAAAACTTAAAACGTGTTTAAAACAGGAAATATGGATTTTGTAATTACGCTCCGCCCCTCAGTCTAGCAACGAATGGAAAATTCATCACCATTCAAAACTGAGATCGGGGTGGGGCTTATCTTTTTTTATTGTTTTTTTTTTTTTTTTAGTTAATACATATATGTAGTTTTCTCTGAGCAACACCGTCACTGAAGAACATATTTCACATGGCAAGCAATTTTTGTAGAAAAATACGGATTTTACAATTAAATTCCGCTCCTTTGGCTGTCGACGATTAAGAAAAATCATCACAATTGAGATAGGATGGGTGGGTGGGGCTTATGTTTTGCATCTTTTTTTCTTCAAAATATATATTGTTTTTCCCTATAACAAGAAACTGAAAACATGTTTAAAATGGTAAATTTTATCCCACGCACTTCTCTACAAATTTACCCTTTTAAACATGTTTTCAGTTTCTTGTCGTGAAACGAAAAGTACGGACATATATTAAGAAAAAAAAAGGCAAAATACAAAACCACCCCACCCACCCTCATCTCAACTGTGATAAGGTTTTTATTCGTTGTGTGGCAAAGGGCGGAGTTTATTGCAAAAGGCTTATTTCTCTACAAGAAACTTCTATGTGAAATATAGTATAAGTAACATGTTGTTGAAAAGAAACTATGTATATGTTAAAGAAAAAAAAATTCAAAAATAAGCCCCATCCACGCACCCTAATCTCAATTGTGATGAATTTTTCATTCGTTGTCAGACCGAGGGGCGGAGCGTAATTGTAAATGTAAATATGATGTTTCCCGACAAAAATTTACCATTTTAAATATGTATTGTCGTGAAAAGATTGTTACGTACAAAAGGCAAAATTTAAGTTCCGCCCTCCCACCGCCATCTCAATTGTAATCATGTTATTGGTTGTGAATATTGAAATTCTATAAAATCGTTATATTTCATATTGTAAACTGTGGAGATGCGAGGGAAGTTCTGTCGAAACACCTTTCGACCAATTTTTTAATCAAGCAAACAAATGGTTTAATTTGCCATTGTGACAGATTCACAGATCATTGCGACATTGTATAAAAAGAAAATTCCTAAAATAGTTTTACTACAACAAACCATAACCTAACGAAAAAACTTCAGGGAATTTTTATTCTTCTGCATCGAATACCAACAAACTCACTAGATTTTCACGGCTATATAAAGATCCTGAACGGATAATAAAATTGTGAATTAAACTTGTCATGCGACCCCTCTCCTATAGCTGCTTGTTACGCCGCTGCGTCTGTCATCTAAGTTCCGGAGACGTAATAACCGTCAAGGTCATGCTTGTCAAATTGTCAAAAGTTTCTATTTTGAAAATACGTGAAATTTTTATCAAAAGCGATTGCAAAACCCACAAAATTAATCAACAACTAGCGAGGTATTCAACATCTTAAAATAGGCATGTTGTTGTATTGTACTTGTCGTATTTTATGAGTTGGCACATTTTACATAACAAATTCACGTGAGGGTTTGTTGTGTAAATAAAATTGCATTTCCTTGACCGGCAGTCGTTGTTGCGTGTGTGTTTGATTAGGATTAAAATGATAATGTGTGCGTCACAAATGTTATAAATCATCTCAATACAATTAACGGTTCTATTGTAGGTTAAAGTACTGTTATGTGTTTTAATCTGATACGGACTTTGAACGCTTCCTCAAAATGTTGGAAGGACTAGCGGCTTGGGTGTTGAATAATTACCTAGGAAAGTACGTGGAGAACTTGAACACAGACCAACTTAGCATTGCATTGTTGTCCGGTAGGTATCATGAAAGAAAATAGGTGCCCTTTTAAGTTTCGTTGTTTTAGGCAAAGTTGAGCTTGAAAATCTACCTTTAAAGAAAGATGCCTTGCGTCACTTGGGTTTGCCTATAGAGATTAAAGCCGGCTTTATTGGTAAGGTTAAACTACAGATACCTGTTAGGCAAATTAGGTCTGCACCGTGGGTCATAGCTATAGAACAATTATACTTAGTGGCAAGTCCACTACCAGTTGAGGAGGTATATACTGAGTGTTTGTGTTTATCCATGCAATATTAATTTTCATAAAAAATTATTAGTGGGATGCAGAATCAGAAGAACTAGCAGCACAAGATCTGAAATTGGGTGCTTTAGATGTGATCGAGGCTCGATGGCGCTTAGAAACAGAAGCCAGAGATTTAAGCTCCACATATTATGCCTCTAGTTATTCTTCATGGCTTAGTTTTGGAGCAGGTTTAGTGTCAGATATTATAGAAAATCTACAGGTTAGTAAAACAGTGAAATCCTATTTATTTTGTTGACACGCTAAAATTTACTGTTGCTTGTGTAATTTCCTAAGGGTGGTTGCAAGACTATGTTTATATTTTTCCAGCCAGAAAAGTTGTATTAAAACTGTTATGTTGGCTGGTGTACGTTTTTATTGGTTTTTAACAAATATTTACTTTCCTTGAAATTTCAAATCATATTTTTTTCAAAAACTGAATATTTTCTTGGCGTTGTAAAATATGAAAATCCGGATTTTCCGGTATCGTCCGTCTGTCATCTGATGACTTTGTATATTGTGAAGTGAAACTCATTGAGTGGTTTAATGAATCATCTCTATTTTTAACCTTTATGTGTCTTCAAAAACAAATTAATTTGAATTGACGGTAAACATTTACACTTTATCTTCATGCAATTTATTTGTACGTCTATCAAAAATTTCGATAGCATAATTAAAAAAAAACTTAAAAAATGGCTAAATAATTTGTTTTTATTATTACTTCCTGAGCGTAATGTAAGGAAGTATTGTAATCGGGTCCATTGGACGATTCGCTAGTTTCAAGTTTTCTAGACGTTTCATGAACCTTACAGTACGAAAAAATAGGTCTCCCGTTTCCGTCTGTCTGTCTGCCGTCTGTTCGAATTTTTATTAGACAGATAATCTCCAAAACTACTCGGAACGAAATTTTTAAAATCATAATTATTGTTAAATATTTAAAATGAAGACTAGAAAAACTGCAAATTAAAAATTGAAGAAATGAAAAATTGAAAAATCAAGAAATTGAAAAAAATATTATAAATAAATGAAAAATTAAAAAATCGAAAAATTCAAAACTCGGAAATTGCAAATCGAGTTTGAGTTTGCATTTTTCCAATTTTTAAGTTTTTCAATTTTTAATCTTTCGATTTTCCAATTTTTCAAGTTCTTAATTTCCAATTTTTAGATTTTTCAGTTCTCATTTTATACGTTTTCGTTTTTTCATTTTTGATTTTTCAATCTTACAATTTTTCCATTTTTTTATTTGAAATTTGAAATTGAGTATTTGAAATCGAAAAACTGAAAAATCGGAAAATTGAAAAAACGAAAAAGTGGAAAATCAAAAAATTGAAAATCGAAGAACTGAAAAAGCGAAAAATTGAAACAGTGAAAAACTAAAAAACAAGAAACATAGAAATCGAAAAAAATTAATGAATCGAAAAATTGTAAAATCGAAAAATAATATAATCGTCAAAATTGTAATGAATTGTAAAAACGAAAAACTTCTAAAATTGGAAGGTTGAAATGGTAAGAAATGTAAAGAATTATAATTTTTATTACACGTTTAAAATAAAAACTAGAAAATTTACAAATCAAAAATTGAAAAATTAAAAACTGTAAACTCGTAAAATTGCAAATCGAAAAATTGCAAAATCTAAAAATTCAAACATCCTAAAGTTGGAAAATGAAAACTCGAAGAGTTGCATGTCGTAAAATTGAGGAAACAACAAAATATGAATAATCGAAAAATCTAAAAACTGAAAAATTTCATACTGAAGAAAAATGACTCCGATAAAATCAGCACTTGAAAACTGAAAAATTGACAAATAAAAGAAATAAAAAACCGAAATGAAAAATTGCACAAATAAAAATTTGAAAAATAGAGAACTTCTAAACTCGGGAAATTACAAATCGAATTTTTTTTCGTTCATTTATTAGTTTTTCAAACTTGCAATTCTTCGATTTTCCGATTTCTTTAATTTTCGATTTTTAAGTTTCTCACTTTTTATTTAATCTTGATTTTTCAATTTTTCAAGTTCTTAATTTCCAATTTTTAGATTTTTCAGTATTGCAATTTTTCCATTTTTTATTTGAAATTTGAAATTGAGTACATATTTGAAATCGAAAAACTGAAAAAAAAATTCAAAATCTTAGAACTGAAGAAACGAAAAATTGAAACAGAAAAACTAAAAACAAGGAACTTAGAAACCAACAAAAACATTATGAATCGAAAAATTGGAAAACCCAAAAATTGCAAAATCGAAAAATTATAAAATCGTCAAAATTGTGAAGTCGAAAAACTGTAACAGTGAAAAATTAAATATCGAGAACTTGAAAAATTAAAATCGAAAAAATGAAAAATCGGCTTAATGAAACAGTTTTAAAATCGAATAATTAAAAAATGTCAAACTTCTAAAATTGGAAGGTTGAAATGGTGAAAAATTTAACGAGTTACAATTATTATTATATATTTAAAATGAAAACTAGAAAAGTACTAATCAAAAATTGAAAAATTGAAAACTTCTAAACTCGGGAAATTACAAATCGAAAATTTTGTTCGTTTATTAATTTTTTCAAATTTGCATTCCTCGATTTTCTGATTTGTTTAATTTTCAAAATTTCTGTTTGTAAGATTTTTAATTTTCTTAATTTTTAATCTTTTGATTTTTCAATTTTTCAAGTTCTTAATTTCCAATTTTTAGATTTTTCAGTTTTCATTTTATACTTTGTCGTTTTTTCATTTTTGGTTTTTCAGTCTTGCAATTTTTCCATTTTTTATGTGAAATTTGAAATTGAGTATTTGAAATCGAAAAACTGAAAAATGGGAAAATAGAAAAAACGAAAAAGTGGAAAATCAAAAAATTCAAAATCGAACAACTGAAGAGACGAAAAATTGAAACATTGAAAAACTAAATAACAAAAAAATCAACAAAAAAATTATGAATCGAAAAATTATAAAATCGTCAAAATTGTGAAGTCGAAAAACTGTAACACTGAAAGATCGCAACATTGAAAAATTAAATAGCCAGAAATTGAGAAATTAAAAAAATTAAAAATCGACTGAAAAAGTTTTAGAATCGAATAATTAAAATGTGGTAAAACTTCTAAAATTAGAAGGTTGAAATAGTGATAAATTTAAAGAATTATAAATATTATTACATATGTATTTATTTAAAATGAAAAATTAATAAAAATTCAAAAATTCGTAAAATTGGCAACCGAAAAATTGCTAAATATAATTATAATAAAAAATATAAAACATTCAAAAGTTGGAAAACTGAAAATTTTAACAATGAAAACTCGAAGAGTGCATGACGAAACCACAAAATTTTAATAACAATAGAAGAATCTAAAAATTGAAAAATTTCACATTGAAAACGAAATTATAAAATCAGCACATTGAAAATCTGAAAAATAATAAACCGAAACGAAAAACTGCAAATTGAAAAATGTTTTCATTTAATCAGCTTTTCAAATTTGCACTTGCTGGATTTTCCGATTTCTTTAATTGTCAATATTTCTATTTTCAATACACATTTCGTTTTTCGATTTTGCAGTTTTTCGATTTTTAAGTTTCTCAGTTTTTAATCTTTAGATTTTTCAATTTTTCAAGTTCTTGATTTCCAATTGTTAGATTTTCAGTTTTCACTTTAGACTTTGATTTATCAATCTTGCAATTTTTCCAATTTTTTATTTGAAATTTGAAATAGAAAAACTGAAAAATCGGAAAATTGGAAAAACAAAAAATTGAAAATCGAAGAACTGAAGAAACGAAAAATTGAAACAGTGAAAAACTAAAAAACAAGAAACTTACAATTAAAAAAAAATATATGAATGGAAAAATTGGAAAGAAGAAAAAACCAATCGCATTGAAAAATTAAAAAACCTAAAAATTGTAAAATCGAAAAATTATAAAATCGTCAAAATTGTAAAGGTCGAAAAAGTGAAAAATTAAATGTTGAGAAAATGAAAAAATGAAAAGGTTTTAAAATCGAATAATTAAAAATGTCAAACTTCTAAAATTGGAAAGTTGAAATAGTGATAAATTTAAAGAATTATAATTATTATTATTATTACATATTTAAAATGAAAACTAGAAAAATTACAAATCAAAAATTGAAAACTCGTAAAATTGCGAAACCTAAAAATTCAAACATCCAAAAGTTGGAAAATGAAAAACTAAAAATTTTACCAATGAAAACTGGAAGAGTTGAACGTCAAACTATGAATAATCGAGGAATCCAAAAATTGAAAAATTTCATATTGAAAAAAAATTATACGATCAACACATTGAAAAACTGAAAAATTGAAAAAATAAAGAAAATAAAAAACCAAAACGAAAAATTGCAAATCGAAAAATTCTAAATTGGGGAAATTGCAAATCGAAAAATTTTGTGGTTTATTCGGTTTCTCAAATTTGCAATTCCCCGATTTTCCGGTTTCGTTAATTTTCAATACTTCTGTTTTCAATTCGTATTTGGGTTTTGGATTTTGCACTTTTTCGATCTTTAGATTTTTCAGTTTTTATTTTATACCTTTTCGTTTTTTCATTTTTGATTTTTCAATCTTGCATATTTTCCATTTTTTTTATCTGAATTTTGAAATCGAAAAACAAAAAAGTGGAAAATCGAAGAACTGAAAAAACGAAAAATTGGAAAATCGAAAAATCATGGAATCGTCAAAACTGTGAAGTCGAAAAACTGTAACATTGAAAGATCGAAAAAATAAAAAATTGACTAAATGAAAAAGTTTTAAAATCGAATAATTAAAAAATATGAAACTTATAAAATTGGAAGGTTGAAATAGTGATAAATTTAAAGAATTATAGCTATTACTACATATTTATTAAAATGAAAACTAGAAAAATTGCAAATCGAAAATTGAAAAGTCGAAAAATTGATAAATTAAAAATTCAAACACCCAAAAGTTGGAAAATGAAAAAGTGAAAATTTTAACAATGACAACTCGGAGAGTTGTATGTCGCAAAATTGAAGAAACAACAAAATATGAATAATCGAAGAATTTAAAAATTGAAAAATTTCACAATTAAAAAAAAATTGAAAAAATAAAGGGACTAAAAAACCAAAATGAGAAATTGCAAATCGAAAAATGTTTTCCTTTATTCAGTTTTTCAAATTTGCAATTCCTCGATTTTCCGATTTCTTTAATTTTTATTTCTGTTTTCAATACATATTTGGGTTTTGGATTTTGGACTTTTTCAATTTTTAAGTTTGTCAATCTTTATTTTTCAATTTTTCAGGTTCTTGATTTCCAATTTTTAGATTTTTCAAGTTTCATTTTGTACCTTTTCGTTTTCTCATTTTTGATTTTTCAAGAAACGAAAAATTGAAACAGTGAAAAACTGTAAAACAAGAACTTAGGAATCGAAAAAAATTAATGAATCGAAAAATTAGAAAGAAGAAAAAACGAATCTAATCGAAAAATTGGAAAACCCAAAAATTGTAAAATCGAAAAATTATAGAATCTTTAAAACTGTAAAGCCGAAACACTGTAACATTGACAAATCGAAAAATTGAAAAATAAAAATCAAAAAAATGAAAAACTTCTAAAATTGGAAGGTTGAAATAGTGAGAAATTTAAAGAATTATAATTATTATTACATATTGAAAATGAAAACTAGAAAAATTACAAATCAAAAATTGAAAAATTGAAAATCCATAAAATTTGAAAACTGAAAAATTGCAAAATCTAAAAATTCAAACATCCAAAAGTTGGAAAATGAAAAACTCGAAGAGTTGCATGTCGTAAAATTGAGGAAACAACAAAATATGTGTGAATATAATCTAAGATACAAAAATTGCAAATCAAAAATTGAAAAATTCAAAAGTTGAAAAATTGAAAAACTGAAAAATTTAAATTTGAAAAGTCGGAAAATTTCAAATCGAAAAACCGAAGAAACAAAAAAATGTGAAAGACTGAAGTCAAAAAATCTGCGGAGTGTTATTTACTCCACTGGTTTTAACTTTATAGAGGTTATCAGAAAACAAAAATCGCAACATTTTTTTATAATTTTTGAAAGAAACGGGATTTGTTGGGCTGCGCTTTAGGGTGTAGAGAAATTCTGTCGAAATGACATTCGACCAATTTTTTACAAATGCTTACACAAAATATTTCAGAAAATGATTCTATGAATAGTCTCTCATTTATTATCTCAGGGAGAATTAACATATTAATTTGTTATATCAAAATTGATAACGTCATTTAACGATTTTATGAAGGAAAATTCATTCGAACTAAGGAGTGTGTCATGCTTTTGTAATCATGGTTTAATAATACTCCAAGGTTGGTTGCTATACTAACCTTGAATCTGCTTGTATTTTTACTTTTACTTACAGCAATTGTTCTAATTATATACGACATGCGACATATATGAGAAAATTTTACAAAGACTGAATTACTTGCTGAAGTAATAAACTCATTTCAAATCAATACATTCTCGTCAAACTCAACCACTAAACGACGTCAGACTTAATTAATTGTCGTTTAGTGTTTTTCATACGATGTTTTATAGCGATTAAGTACGTTCATTTCATATTATTGTATAGCTTGCATACGTTGTAAATAAAGACACTAATGTCTTGAATTAACCACACACGTTACTTTTCTTATAATCTTTTTTTTTTTTTTCATTTTCAACTGTTGTAGTTAAAAATTCAAGATGTGCACATTCGCTACGAAGATAGTGTTAGTATCCCAAAAAAATCCGTGGCTTTCGGAATCACCATGGAGTCCCTTTCGGCACAAAGCTGCGACGCTAACTGGATTCCCGGATTCTCACACTGGACTAAAGGACCCGAGTCTTTTAAAATTCTAGAATTACAGAAATTCGCAGTGTATTGGATAGATGTAGACCCCAGCAACTTGCTTTCAAAGCTGAGTTTAGGTGATTTAGCCGTAAGTGTTGTCATAAGTGAGTAATTTGATAAGGTCGAACATAAACCAATCTAGATTTCCATGTCGCCAAACCAAACGAGCAAACAAATTCGCCACTACATTTTGGCCCCAGTGAGCTCCCAAGCACACGTAAAGAGAAACAGAAGCGAACAACCATTGAGATCTAGCGACACTCCACGCCTAGTCTGTGATTTAATACTGGATCAAGTTCCACTAACGTTAATAGATGTAATGACTCACCCCTTTTACTACCCCAATAACATTGAAATTTTAGTGGCAATATGACCAAATAGTCAAGTGTATTAAAGGTCTAGACACTATAGATCGCCTCAGGAGTTACCGCCGCTACAAACCCGCTTGCACGGTCAAAGAAGACCCTCGTGCTTGGTGGTTTTACGCCATCAGTTGCTTCTACCCAGGAAAACAACCAGCAATTTGCCGCCCCAAACCCACACTAGAATCCAGTTTACTAAAAGCTAAACAAAACGTCAAGTACGTGCAAATCTACATGAAAATCTTAGCCACACCGAGTCTAGTGCTATCACCTGACGAGAAAAAAATGAAAGACGACGTGGAATGGGACCGCGAATTCGACGACTTGAAAGTGTTGCGGGAAATAGCGATGAGGTCGGTTTCGATTCCCGATAGAAACGCCACCAACGGGAACTCGGCAGGAAGGAGCATGCTGGTGCGGTGGTTCCCGCAGTGGATGGGCTGGTACTCGTCCCAAGCATCAGAAACTGCTCCCAGCTCTCCAGAAACAACCCAGCTAGAGGGCGAGATTCTTCAGGTTTTGAGCGATTCGGCGGAGAATAATACCATTTTGAAGAGGGATGCGGTGTTTGGGCATTTTAATTTTTGTTTGAAGAGGGGTTGTTTGACGCTGTGTGCGTCGCAAGAAGATACGGCTGAGAGGTCGGTTTAAAGTTTGTGTACGCGGAAAATATATTATTTAAGTGTGTTTCAGCTCTCCCATGTTGGAGTTAGAGTTTAAAAATTTGTCGCTCAATATTTTGAGTAAGCCGCGGACTTCCTCACATTTGGTCGAGTTGTCTCTGGGTGCTCTATATTTGAAAGATAAAATTACTTTTAATACCATGTTTCCGGTTTTAATGGGGCCACCGGGGTTTGAGCGGACCACTTTCGGGAGGTCGCAAGGGCCGAGTCCTAGAGCGAGCGTTGCGAGCAAGTTGGAGGAGGGGAATGAATATTTGTTTTATTTAGCGTATGAGAAGAAACCTCAAAATTCGGGCTGTGATTATAGGTGAGTAAAATGAGCTATTTTACATCAACTAAACAAACTATGAATACTCGGTTTTCATTGATTTTAAAAACTGGAACATATTTTACATTTTTATTAAGCAGATAATTTCGAAGCAACGAAAGTAATTGCTTTTTCCCTGTAAACAACTGGTGACGTATTCTCAATATTATCTTAAAAATCAATATTTACACAAATTACGATAAATTGAAGACTCGGATTCAGTTGGATGTTTTTTACTTTTTACTTCCATCTATCTTTCTGTTAGTCTGCCGTCTATATCAATTTTATTAGACACAATCTCTGAAACTACTGGACCGAGTGTTGTCAAATTTTGTATGTGTATTAGGAATATGGTAAAATTTTGTATGTGTATTAGATGGTAGACCGCTCAACCAAATTCGGAATCAACTCCAAAATTTACACAATTTTTTTTTAATTTTTATAAAATAAGATGCTCCTGCACTTGTGGCGTATGAATCTGTGTTGAGTTTTCATCCTAGAAAAAATCCCAAAAAATAGAATTATGGGACATTTTGCAATTTGACTTAAATTTATTCGTTTATCCCCTTCCAAAAAATTATGACATCATCTCAAAATTTTACCTACTAAATCCTCTCTGAAATATGCAAAACATATGACTGTATACTTGTGATTGATGAATACAGTCAGTTTTTAGAGGTATTTATACAGGGTGACTCAAAAAATATGAATGATTCAATTTACTTTTTTAATTAAATCCAAAACGACTCACTATTTTCCAGAAAATTTGGAAATGCAGTTCAAATCCTTGCATAAACGTTGATGACGTCATCACAGAATTTTGTATTGGAAACACTCACTTTATTTTAACATTACATACATATCTTTTTTTTTTAACTTATAAGGGTTATTTTTTTAACCTTCAAACTACCGGGTGGGGTCCAAATGGACCCCATTGTTACATTTTCCTATTTTTTCCCGTTATTTCTGGTTTAACGATAGTGGTATTTTTAGTAGCTTCGGTTAAGGCCTTTTGCTATGCATACAAAAAATATCAATTGTATAGGTGTAACAGTTTGTAACAAAAAAAAAAAATAGTCTCTTGGGGTCCGCATGGACCCCACCTGGTTCTTTATGTTGCCATTTTTTTGTCTATATTTTGGAGATTTTATTGCACCTGCAGGTCTTATTCTGGGAATTTAGTCTTACAAAAACCATTGTTTTATTCTTTACTAGTTTATAGACGGCGTTGCAGTTTTGATACTGACTTGCAAGTGTCAGTATCGGTGTCAGTGTGACAATGTAATCACTGTAAAAAATTAAATTTTGTTTTATCAATGGCACGTTATCAAAATCGATATCAGTACAATCCCGCGGACGCTGCTTCGTCTATATAAGTAGCAGGGACAGAAATCAAGAAATTTTTGCATTTCCTGCAAAAGATTTGTTTGCCGAGAATATTCTACTCGTAACGTTGAATGTCAGGAATGCTGGAACAAAAAACTGTAACGAAAAATGCTTATTTAATATTGTTATGTAATTTTTTTAACTTGGTTGTGTTTAAAATTAATAAATAATTTGGATTCGTTAAAAATTTTTGATTAATTCTTTAATTTTGGCTAAAAAAGGCCATGGGGTCCAAACGGACCCCACCCGAAACGATGTGTAAATTTTCCCACCCGGTAGTTTGAAGGTTAATATTTTCATGTTTTCAATTTTTTGTTTCGTCAAATTTTCAAGTCCTCAATTTTTATTTTCCATTTTCTCCATTATTTTTCAATGTTTCTTTCGATTTTTATAATTTTATCTTTATTAAATTTTTCAAATTTTCATTCTTTGATTTTTCAATGTTTATCAATACATATTTCGTTTTTTTGATTTTTAAATTTCTCAGTTTTTAATCTTTCGATTTTTCAATCTTTCGTTTCTTCAATTTTTCAAGTTCTTGATTTCCAGTTTTTAAATTTTCGAAGATCTCATTTTATACTTTTTCTTTTTTTCATTTGTCATTTTTCAATTTTTGAAATTTGGAACTGAGGACTTGAAGTCGAAAAACTAAAAAATTGGACAATTGAAAACGTACAAGTGGAAAATCGAAAAATTGAAAATCGAAGAACTGGCGAAACGAGAACTTGAAACAGTGAAAAACTAGAAATGAAGGAACTTAAAAAACTTAAAAAATTAATGAATGAAAAATTAGAAAGAAGAAAAAAGATTCGAATCTACAAATTGGAAAACCCAAAAATTGTGAAATTGAAAAACTATAGAATCGTCAAAATTGTAAAGTCGAAAAACTGTTACATTGAAAGATGGAAAAATTGAAAAATTAAAAATCGAAAAATTGGAAAATCGGCTAAATAAATGAAAACGTTTTAAAATCTAATAATTAAAAAATGGAAAAACTCTAAAATTGTAAAGTTGAAAAAGTGAGACAATTTAAAAATTATTGTTATAATTACATATTTAAAATGAAAGCTAGAAAAATTACAAATAACAAATTGAAGAATCGAAAAATTGAAAAATCGAGAAACTGAAAATTCTAAAATTGAAAATGGAAAAATTATAAAATCTAAAAAATTCAAACCTACAAAGGTTGAAAAATCGAAAAACTGAATAATTTAAAAATGACAACTCCAAGAATTGCATGAAGAACCAACAAAAAATGAATAATTGAAAAAATAAAGGAAATAAAAAGCCGAAATGAAAAATTGCAAATTGAAAATTTGAAAAAATGAAAAATTGAAGAGTCGACAATTGAAAAGTCAAAAAGTCAAAGTTTTCAAATCAAATAATTGAAAAAGTGAATTCAATTACATGTTAATATTGTCATTAGACATGTAAAACACAAACTAGAAAAATAGCATATCAAAAATTGAAGAAAAGAAAAATTGAATAATAAGGAAACTGAAAAATTCAAAATTGAAAACCGAAAAATTGCAAATCGAAAAACTGAAAAATTGCGAATCGAAAATTTGAAGAAATTAAAAATTAAAGAATCGAAAAATTGCAAAATCTAGCAATTGAGGAAACAAAAAAATGAATGATTGAAAAATCCCGAATCGAAAATTTGAAAAAATTAAAATTAAAAAAACAAAAAAATATTAGATCGAAACGAAAAATTGAAAAATCTAAAAATTCAAACTTCCAGAATTTGGAAAATCGTAAAACTGAAAAATTTAAAAATGAAAAGTCTAAGAAATTGCATGGAGAACCAAGAAAAAATGAATAATTGAAAACGTAATGAAAAATTTGAAGAAATGAAAAATTTAAGAGTCGCAAAATTGAAAAATTAAAAATCGAAAATTTGGAAAAGTCAAAGTTTTAAAATCCAAAAATCGAAAAAGTGAATTAAATTACGTGTTACTATTTTACATTTAAAACGAAAACTAGAAAAATTGCAGATCAAACATTGAAGAAACGAAAAATTAAATGAAAGTTAAAAAATCGAAAGACTGATTTATTTCATCTTGGAAAACGAAAAATTAGAAAATTAGAGCATTGAAAAATTGAAAAAATAAAAAAATAAAAAGAAAATAAAAAAAGAATCGAAAAATTGCAAAATCTAACAACTGAGAAAAAAAACTGAATATGTAATAGACAAATCCCATATCGAAAAATTGAAAAAATTAAAATTGAAAAAACAAAAAATTATCAAATCGAAACATTGAAAAATGGAATAATTGAAAAAGTAAAGAACATAAGAACCGAACGAATAATTGAAAAAAGGAAAAATTAAATAATAATCTAAAAGTTGGAGAATGGAAAAATTGAAAACTGTGAACTTGCACATGGAAAAATCGCAAAATTTAAAAATTCAAACATCCATAAATTGGAGAGTCGAAAAACTGAAAAATTTTAAAATGAAAACTCGAAAACCTAAACATTGCATAATTGAAAAAAATAAAGAAAATAAAAAACCGAAACGAATAATTACAAATCGAAAATTTGAAGAAATGAAAAATTGAAAAGTCGAAACATTGAAAAGTCAAATAGTAAAAAATTCTAAAATCCAATAATTAAAAAAGTGAATTAAATTACATGTTGTTATTATTATTATTATTACACATTTAAAACGAAAACTAGAAAAATTGCAAATCAAAAATTGAAGAAAAGAATAATTGAAAAATCTAAAATTGAAGAAAGGAAAAATTAAATAATAATCTAAAAGTTGAAAAATCTAAATTCAAACTTCCAAAATTTCGAAAATCGAAAAACTTGAAAAATTTAAAAATGAAAACTGAAAGAATTGCATGAAGAACCAACAAAAAATGAATAATTGAAGAAAATAAAGCGAAACGAAAAATTGCAAATCGAAACATTGAAAAATTAAAAATCAAAAAATTGAAACGTCAGCAAGTCAATGTTTCAAAATCCAATAATCGAACAAGTGAAACAAATGTTATTGTTACATATTTAAAACGAAAACTAGAAAAATTGCAAATTAAACATTGAAGAAATGAAGAATTGAAAAATAACGAAACTGATAAATATAAAATTGAAAAAACGAAAAATTAAATAAAAGTTCAAAAATCGAAAAATTGAAAACAGAAAAATTGCAAATCGAAAACCTGAAAAATTCAAAAATTGAAAATTTTCGTAATGGAAAACGAAAAATTAGAAAATTAGAGCATTGAAAAATTGAAAAGATAAAGAAAATAAACAACTCAAACGAAAAATTGCAAATCGAAAATTTGAAGAAATGAAACATTAAAGAATCGAAAAATTGCAAAATCTAACAACGGAGGAAACAAAAAAATGTATAATTGAAGAATCCCAAATCGAAAAATTGAAAAAATTAAATTCGAAAAAACAAAAAATTGTAAAATCGAAACATTGAAAAATGGAATAATTGAAATAGTAAAGAACATAAAAAACCGAAACGGAAAAATGAAAAATGGAAAAATTAAATAATTATCTAAAAGTTTAAAATTAGAAAAATTGAAAACTCGTCAAATTGCAACCCAACAAAAAATAAATAATTGAAAAAAATAAAGAAAATAAACTAAAACGAAAAATTGAAATGTTGAAACATCAAAAAGTTGAAAAGTCAAAAAGTAAAAATTTCAAAATCCAATAGTAATTGAAAGAGTGAATTAAATTATGTGCATGTTATTACACATTTAAAACGAAAATTAAAAAATGCAAATCAAACATTGAAGAAACGAAAAATTGAAAAATAGAGGAACTGAAAAATGTAAAATTGAAACAACAAAAAATTAAATAAAAGTTTAAAAATCGAAAAATTAAAAACCGAAACATTGCAAATCGAAGATTTGAAAAATTCAAAAACTTCACATTAAAAAAAAAATTATAAAATTAGAACATTGAAAAACCTAAAAAGTGGAAAAATAAAGAAAATGAAAAACTGAAAATAAAAATTGCAAATCGAAAATGTAAAGAAATGAAACATTAAAGAATCGAAAAATTGCAAAATTTAAGAATTGAGGAACCAAAAAAATTAATAATGGAAATATCGCAATTCTAAAAATTGAAAATGCAAAATTATAAAATCGAAACATTGAAACATGGAATAATTGAAAAAGTAAAAGAACATAAAAAACCGAAACGAAAAATTGAAAAATGGAAAAATTAAATAATCTGAAAGTTGAAAATTCGAAAAATTGAAAACTCGTCAAATTGCAACCCAACAAAAAATAAATAATTGAAAAAATAAAGAAAATAAACTAAAACGAAAATTTGAAGAAACGAAAAATTGAAGCGTCCAAACATTGAAAAATTAAAAATCAAAAATTGAAAAGTCAAAAAGTAAAAATTTCAAAATCCAATAATAGTCATTGAAAAAGTGAATTAAATTATGTGCATGTTATTACACGTTTAAAACGAAAACTAAAAAATGCAAATCAGACATTGAAGAAACGACAAATTGAAAAATAGAGGAACTGAAAAATGTAAAATTGAAAAAACAAAAAATTAAATAAAAGTTTAAAAATCGAAAAACTAAAAACCGAAATATTGCAAATCGAAGAATTGAAAAATTAAAAAAATTCACATTAAAAAAAATATATAAAATTAGAACATCGAAAAACCTAAAAAGTGGAAAAATAAAGAAAATAAAAAACTGAAATCAGAAATTGCAAATCGAAAATGTAAAGAAATGAAACATTAAAGAATCGAAAAATTGCAAAATCTAAGAATTGAGAAAACAAAAAAATGAATAATTGAAATATCCCAGTTCTAAAAATTGAAAATACAAAATTATAAAATCGAAACATTGAAAAATGGAATAATTGAAAAAGTGAAAGAACATAAAAAACCGAAACGAAAAATAGCAAATCAAAAAATTGAAAACTCGGAAAACGCAAATCGAAAAATTTAAACTTGAAAACTCGAAAAATTGCAAATTGGAAAACCGGAGAAACATTGAACAATTGAAAAATTCAAGAAAAAAACTGCGGGAATGTTATTTACGTCACTGGTTTACTTTATAGAGGTTACGGAAACAAAAATCGCAAAAATTTTATAATTTTTCAAAAAAGTGGGATTTGCTTCAGGGGCGAGGAAGGTTCTGTCGAAATAACCTTGTCCATTTTTTATGGTTGAAAAAGTACCATTTAATAAAATAAAATTTTAAATTTCAGGTTGTGTATACGTTCAAAGTGCTTGGATGTAGTGTATCAACCCAACGCTGTTCGTTGGTTGACAGAATTTCTTTGCTTGCCTCACCAAAGAGACATCACTCAGTCACGAATTGAGGCAATGAAAACCAGAACCAAAAAAGAATTAATCAAAAATTGGGAACAAATACTAGATGGGCGAGTTGTAAGTAGTTTTAAATACCCACAGATAATAGTTACATAGAATACACTTGCTAAAAATTAATCTCGTGCCCCCCTAGGTGGCCAGAACAACCTGGGAACTAGAACTGGACATATCCGCCCCCCAAATTATTTTTGTGGAGCAATTTACCGATAATAATTCTGCAATGGCTGTGATAGACTTTGGAAGACTTCAACTAAGCAATTACTCTGTACAGAACGAAGCATGTCCTAAACCTGATTTCATAACCAAAGAAAGCGAGGATGACGGTGAATAACCAACCCCCTTTCAAGTCCGTTTTCACCAATTTTCTTTTACAGAAACATTCCTCACACCCTGTTCCACGCCCCCAGCGAGCGAAGCGAGCGACTCCGACGAACACACCCTCGAACTCCTACCCAGTTTAGAACACGACACGAAAGTCTCCTTCACCGAAAAATCGCTACACCACCGACTCTACGACCGCTACTGCGTCGAATTAACCGACCTTCAAATCCTGATCGGAAAAGTCAAAGACAACTGGCGCTACGCGCACAATAAGGGTTCCTCGACTTTGCACGTCCTCGACCGCTTCAACATATCTCTCCAAATCGAAAAAAGGCTAGTTCACACGTCCGATCCTCTATACCCGAGTTTGATCATCAATACGAACTTACCGAAATTGGTTGCGCATTTAAATGAGAGCAAAATAACCGCCGCTCGCACTCTCGCTCATATTATTACGATAACCGGACTCCCGTCGCCGTTTAAGACTCCAGACAATGTTGTGGAAGTGGTTACGGATACGGGGCAAGATGAGGACGATTCGGCGAGTCTTGACACCAGTGTGGAGATGTCTAGGTTGTTGATGGTCCAGTTTACGGTGGACCAGATGTCATTGGAAGTGCAAAGTAGAGGGCGCTGTGTCGCTGAGTTACAAGTAGCGGGTGTTAAAGTTGCGTTTACGAAGAGACCGAGGGATATTAGTGTCACTTTGACCGTGCATAGTTTGCTTCTGGTGGACGCTTTGCAGAATTTTGGGCCGGATTTTGAATTGTTGATTGCTAGTCATAAGCACGTTGGGTGAGTACTTCTAGATTATCAAAATAATATTTTACTAAGAGTACGACAAACACTAATTTATGCGAGGAATTTTTGATCCAAAATGTTTTTAGTGTCATCTCAAAAATCAGTAGCGTCACAAGTAAAATTTAGATATTGAGTAAAAAAAGAAAATAATTTCGATAATAATAATTAATGATGATTAAATTCTCATATTCTATTATTTTTTAATACAATTTCTACTAATGTGCCTTTTTGAAAATTTAAAATTAATCCATAAATTAAAAAGTGACAACGAGATAATCTCATACTCATCGCAATTTTAACGTGTTGTAGTTTTTTTTGACAACAATTTATAAAAAACGGGAAAGCAGTCTGGGTAGTGTTTTTCACGCTCATTTCAACGGTGTGAAGTTTATTACAATCGGACGTATACGTTTGGCAAAAAATTGGGCAGAAGTTTATATGTATTTCCCTATGCTGGAATATGCTTTATCTCACCCTTAAAATGATGAAGAGCTTATGTATATTATGGTTACGTGGTTTCTTAACAAATTCTGTGCTAAACTCGTTTTAGATTTTAACTCCCTACTGGGTTAATCTTCTCTTCGTGGGGACGAACCAGGTATAATAATCCCGGCAGGACAGGTAAACGATTCGTAGAGAAAAAGAAAACAATATTTTTGAGTTAAAAGTAATTGCAAAAAGTAATTGTAAAGTTCCTGGATTACTCAAAAAAATAATTCGTTACAATTACTCAATAAATTTTTTGAAGAATTATTACAGTAATGAATTACTTGAAATTGAATTGTTGCAAATTTTGAATTAAGAATCATCGTCAATCACGAAGGTTTTTCTTTTCACATATTTTTGTCAGAAAAGGAAAAACCTGGTATTGCCCTATTTCAAGAGTCAGAATCTATGTGCATTTTTTTTATTATGCACTTATATATGCACCCAAAAAGGTTGAAATATGCCTACATTTTTACAAAATATGCTAGTACTTGTCAACATAAGATTGATTAATATTAAGAGTGGTCACTGGAATTAAGAGAGTGGGGGCGGGCCTACTACTTGCTTAAAAAAATCGTTAGAAAAACCTAAACTCAACTCCGCCCACTTCTTGTTTCCATTTCACTGACTTATGTTATTAACTGTAAAATCTGAAGTTTTAAAACAAAGTAGAAAAGCCTCCTCCCACCCACCCTTATTCATAATTTTTATTGGCCCTGCAGAAAGAATTTCAGGAATTTTCAATTTTCCAGCTTTTGATTTTTTCAATTTTTATATTTGGCAATTTCTCGTTTGTTCAAATTTTTTGATTTGCAATTTTTCATTTTTGATATGCGACTCTTCGAGTTTTCATTTTTAAATTTTTCGGTTTTTCTATTTTCGTTATTTTTTCATTTACTCGATTTTTCAGTTTCCCGTTTCTTCAATTTTTTGATTTGCAATTTTTCATTTGTTTTGTTTCTTCATTTTTAAGATAGGCGACCCTTCGAGTTTTCATTTTTGAATTTTTCGGTTTTTCGATTTTCCAATTTTTGGATGTTTCAGTTTTCAGATTTTGCAAATTTTTCTATTTCCAATTTCTTGAGTTTTCAATTTTTAATTTCTCACTTTTTGGATTTTCGATTTTTCGATTTGGAATTTTTCAATTTTTATTTTTTGGTTGTTAGTCCTTGCTAAGATAGATAAGACTGATTTTAGCAAATCACATACCTTCTAAAAAGAGAGAGGACGGGTGGGCGGGCTTAGTACATGCTAAGATAAAACTAATTTTGGCAAATCACATACCTTCCAAGAAAATAGAGGGTGGGTGGGCGGGGCTAGTACTTGCCAAGATAAGATCGAATAATGTTAAGGATAGTCACTGGAATGAAGAGGGGCTCGGTGGGTGGAGTTACTGCTTGCTTATAAAACTCTTTTTAGAAAAACATAAACTCAGTTCCGCCCATTTCTTGTCTCCATTTCACTGACTTATTTTATTTAAAAATGTGAATTGAAGTCTATTTTAACAAGCGGTAGAATCTAAGATTTTTTTTCATTTTCCATTATTCAATTTTAAAATTATAAAATCGAAAGAAATATTGAAAAAATCAAGGAATTGTAAAAAGGAAAACTAGTGATATGAAATCGAGAAAATGAAAATCAAAAACTCGAGAATATGAAAAACAAGAATCAAGAACTTGAAAACGAAAATTTCTAATATCAAAAAATTGATGGACGGTAAATAAATTTCATTTATTTGAGCCACCTGTTTAAGTAAGTCAAAAAAATTATAATGCAGTGGATAAATTACAAGTAAAAACTCATCATATTTTGCACATTTTGGGTAGAATTTATTCGGCAAAATTTTGAGATGGCGTCATCATTTTTTTTTTGTTTTTTTTTTTTTTGTAAAATAAACACATATTTTGATTAACAATTTACCATGTTCACAATAACTTTGAAACGTCTGCAAGATTTCAACCTATTCAGTTTTGCAATTCTTGATTTATTCAATAAAATAAATTGATTGATTCATTAATTTTTTTGAGTCACCCTGTATAAGTAAATCTAAAATATTGATCGAAGATTATTTCGACAGAACTTCCGTCGCCTCGATTTTTTGCTTGAATTTGTCAATTCAATTTTTCAGTTTTTTTTCTTTAATTTTTCGAGTTTTCAAGTTTAGATTTTTTCAATTTTTCGGTTTTGTATTTTCGTTATTTTTTCTTATTCGGTTTTTCAGCGTTTCGATTTAATTTTTTTGTTTTTTGAATTTCTCGTTTCTTATTCAATTTTTCGATTTGCAATTTTTCATTTTTTTTTTGTTTTTTTTTTTCATTTTTAAGATGTGCGACTCGAGTTTTTATTTCAAAATTTTTTAGTTTTCGATGTTCCAATTTTTGGGTGTTTCAGTTTTCAGATTTTGCAATTTTTCTGTTTGCAATTTCTCTACTTTTCAATTTTTAATTTCACTTTCTGGATTTTTCAATTTTTCGTTCATCTAGAAAATGAAAATCAAAAAATCGAGAATATGAAAAACAAAAATCAAGAACTTGAAAAATTGAGGAAACGAAAAATTGAAAAATCGAAAAATGAAAAATTGTAAAATCGAAAAATTGGTCTAAAAAGTTTAGACAGTACTTCCCTCGCTGTCGGGAACGTGACGACTGCAAGCCTATTATGTCTTTTTCCGTATTACATTTTTGTAATTTTTTATTTAATCAATAAAATTAATTGACTCAGTCATTAATTTTGTTCAGACACCCTGTATAAGCAAATCTAAAAAATATTAATGCAGTGATAAATCACTCATTACAATTTTAAGTGAAAAAAAAAATGCTTATTCATATATACACTGACCGGCAAAAAAAACCGGCCACCCTGAAAAATTTCGCAAAACCACTTTAAAAATTATTAATTTAACTAATAATCGTTATTTTATTAAACAATCATTCACTATTGACACATGATGTACAAATAAGCAAAAAAAAAAGAAGACAAATAAACGCAGAATTAAATTTAATTGATCAAAAGAACAGAAACAGACCGAGTACGATATTTTCTTAATTAAAACAATAAAGGAAGCTGTTGTTGCAAACACTGTTTTTCATCATTTGATTATAAGTTTGGCGATTAATAAACGTTTTCACGCGAAAGCAATGCCGTTAACTCTTACAGACGTCTCTCAAATTGTCGCTCTGTTTCTGTTATTTTGTTAAATTAAATTTAATTCTGCGTTTATTTGTCTTCTTTTTTATTTGCTAATTTATACATCATGTGTCAATAGTGAATGGTACTTTAATAAAATAACGATCACTAGTTAAATTAATAATTTTTAAAGTTTGGTTTTGCGGAATTTTTCAGGGTGGTCGGTTTTTTTGCCGGTCAGTGTATATTATTAATTAATTTTGGAACCTATCGTCCTATTGCATGCTTTGCATAAAATATTTTCGTCACTATAAATTAATTCTGGTTTATCTTAATCCATGACAAAACTATTACGAAAGTTTTTTCTTTCGCCATTTTTTGAACACTGACACTGTGTATGAGAAGCTTACGTACGAAAGAATGAGTAATTTATCTCGCCCTTTTTACCTACATACCATACCACTTTTTCACCATTTGGACGATAAACCAGATCATAAAAGTACTACTCTCGACCCATCTTAAGCTGCTAAAACCAAGTTCTTAATATGCAAGTGGGTACAGTTTACGGAAAGTAATCCTATTTTGTTTAATATTATTTCTACGAAAAACATAAAAATATGCAGTTACACGAACTACCCCGGTTCAGAGCAGATTTTGGGCATTTTTCATTTTACTTTTTGCTGAATATGGTACTTTGCTTTGCTCCTGGGTGTTCCCACGATCATAGAAATGAATGTAAAATGTTTGCTGTTCCCAGTGATAATGAACTATTTAAAACGTGGAGTGAACTTTTGTCATGGTAGGTTCAAATATTATTTTTTTAATCGTAATTTACTAATTATTGTTTTATCGCAAAACTATAAAAAATCTATTTTTTAGTCGGACAGATCGTAATATTTCGAAGACATCAAGAGTTGGCAGTTGCCACTTTTTGAACGGCGAAAAGCGAAATGGGCCAACAATATTTAAGCATAATGTCCAAAAAAGACTTATTTTTAAAAGTCCGGAGAAAAGGAACAATAAAAAAAAAGGTAAAAGTTGTTTATTTATTTATAACACGTAAGTACTACAATTTTCTTTGTTTTTTTTTTTTTTTTTTTTGTTTATTCATTATTGTATCACGATTTTTATTATTTATTATTATTTCAGGGTAAATCCTCACGAGGGTTCAGCAAAAAAAGATAGCGACGAAGTAACGGCTGAAATAAAATTTTTAGAAAGCCAAATCAAACACTGATAAGAAAAGGCCGCAAATTTGGAGTCAGAACGAAAGTTATCGTTTGCTACTTTGATTTTCAATATTATTACGGCTGGAAGCCCACTGACACAAAATTAGAAGATCAGTTGCTGATGACATTAATGAAACTTAGAACTTGTATGTTCTGCATGAAATTTTCCTTCGCAAAAAAGACAAAAACGTGCTTACAGAAATTGCAGAATAATATTGGATTGCACGGAAATTAAAATCCCTAAACCAATTAATATGAGACTAGAAAAAGAAACCTACAGCACCTACAAACACATGGAATACGTATGAAGGTTTAGTAGGTGTTGCCCCAAATGATGTCGTGGTGTTTGCTAGCCCATTATATCCAGGCTCGGTCTCCGACAAACACATTTTTGAAGCCTCAAGAATTTCAAAGCAGTTGGAACCCGGAGATATGATCATGGTGGACAAAGGTTTTTTAATAAAGGAGTTGGTGCTCCCAGGAGTTCATGTCAATATGCCACCTTTTCTTTATAATCATCGGTTCACCAAAGAAGAGGCTGTAGAAACAATGAACATTGCACGGGCTAGGATACAAGTAGAACGAGCGAATGCTCTGTGTACTTTTTTTGTAAAATTTTTATATTTTTGTTGTTTGAAAAAAATTGAATATTGTTTAAGTACTGTTATTGCATAAATAAAAGTATGTGTATCATTTCCCCCGCTATTTTTTTTTAATCATCATTTGTCCGTTTAAAATCCCAAAATAAAAAACTGTTAATAATATTAAAAATTTTACTAACTCTATTAAGAGGAACATACATGTAAAAGGTATGTAGTGACTAAAATAAAATTTTCTTAATAAATCTAAATTTGGTAACCATTCTACATCTTTATCTATCTTATAACTAACTAAACGAATTGAACTATATACAATATTAACGTTTTGTTAAATAAATTTGGCCCTGAATTTGATGGTAATAGGGGTGGTCCAGTTGCCATTTTCATTATAGATAATGTCTACTTTGCCTAAAACTTCTTCCAATATGAAATCTCTGTGGGTGTAAGGGCATTTAATTTCGACTAAGCCATCATCACCTGGTTAAACACACAGGAATTTAAAGGATAATTACATTACTAAATAAAATATGTAATTACTATCATAATGTATTTACCTTTGAAACCGTCTGGAATTGCATCTAAATAGCCACAGATATCCAGCCATAATCCTGTTTGCTCCACTTTAATTTTTTTTACAGACTCAAGCGCGGCTATTGCAATTTTCTCAGTTCTCTGGCCATGAGTAATGAAGGGACAACTTTATTATTCTTGCAAGCTTTAATTATTGTCCCAAAATTAGAGGCAGTAATTCTGTGCTTTCTGCAAATAAGTCAGAGTTTTATTTGCCTGCCCCACGGTTTTCTGAGCCACTTCAATTACTTTTTCTTCACTAATTTTCAGTTTTTCACCCAGAAACAGTTTCTTTAATGGGGCATTTAAATACTCATTAACAGTTCTTCAATATTGTGAACTAAATTTCTTCGGAACTTTCTGGTTCAGGGCCGAACAGCCAAAGCAGTCCTTTACCCCCATCAATATGTCTTAAACTTTCCTGAAATCGTTCCTCAACATTAGCCGTTTTTGGACTTACTTGAGAATTAAAAAAGACTTTGAGGGATAACAGCTCTGGCCTCAGCTGATCCACTTTCTGTAGACGTACGCCCCAAGGACGCGAACTATCAGTTCGAGATATATTGTAATGTTCATATAGGGCAAGTGCAGCCATATGGTGACATACAAGGTGATTGCGAAATACATGCAAAAAAAAAAAGGGGGGAATAGCTCACAATACGATTATGTCACTGTGTAAAATTCACGGTTCTAAATGGTACCAGTATCTAGAAAAAATTATTTGAAATTAAATATAAATTGTTATAATGGTAATGTTTCGTGACGTACATAATTACTATAATGAATGGGACAGAGCGAAAAAAATTACTTGTTAATGTAAAATATTTAGTCTTTTTTAAACCATACTCATGCTGCTAACACTTTTATTAGCTCTTGGTGCTTGGTTTGATTCAATTGTATTTTCTCTAGAACAAAGCACATGAAAATCTTAAATACTTTTATAAAGGATGAATTTTAATATGTCATATATAAGACACCTAAAATCTACTTATATACTACAGTATTTTTAAGCGTTGCATATAAATCAGATTTTTTGTCACGGCCGTGACTGTATTTTAATAAAAATTTATAGGAATGGTTTAAACCAATTCACCCGCAAGTTAAAATTGATATACAAAATAAAAAATTGATTATCTAGCTATTGCGTTCATCAAATTTCTCCAATGAAAAAGCAGAAGCTCTAAAAAATGTGACACGTATGACAAGTCCGAACGTACAAAAGTTAAAATTAAATGAAATTAACATTGATTCCAAACTGCTCTTGATGGTGAGTGCAATTTATATGAAATTAAATATATGCAATGCACGTATAAAAAAATTATTAGTGTTCTGTGAACTCTTAAGTATTGAAACAAACCTTGGTTTTCGAATCAAAATTATACAAAGGAAAATTGACCTCTATCTTTGCCTCTTGTACATTGTTGGCATATAAATAGTATAAGCCGTTCTGGGTGTTTGGTTACAATCAATTCCGTATATGTAGGATCTTTACATATACGTAATTTCCATTTTTAGCAGTTACCAAAAGATGACAAAACGGAGTAAATAAAATAACTGAATAATGTCTACATCGCTTCTGCACGCTTCTTGTGCATCAGGAGTGTTCATCTTAGTTCCAGTACTCAAAATTTCAAATTAATGGATCAAGAAACAAAAGGCAAACTGTTTGTTTTTACAACTGTGTGAGTAATACCCAAAAGGTAACCGTTCTCAGGTCAAAATGTTAAAATATTACAAACGTTAATAAAATTGTTCTTCTTGTGATATAATTTTATTTTATTATGCCAGTTTTACTATAATTTTTAACATTCAAGGAATGTAAGTCACAGCCGTGACACTATTTAAAATGATGCAGTGTAAAATTGCATGGGTTATTCCAAGTAATTTATGGCCAAAAACTGATACCTATTCTTCATTAGTTTGTGTATTGAAGGAACAGCAAAAATGGTTTTGATATTCGCAGAAATAGTAAAATTTTATACATTATACTCAATTTTCTACGAACCACAACCGTGACGCCATATTTTGTTTTCTCAGTCTCTTACCTATTATTGTATGTCGTCCATTTTTTTATAAATAATTCTTGACACTGTAATCTACATACTGCCAATGGTATTTGTTCTAAAATATCTCTGATTTAAAAGAAAAAGGATAAAATGTCCACATTCTGTCACAGCCGTCAAGGACAATATTTTCAACATTGCTTGTAAAAAGGTAGTAGCATTCTAAGTTGCTCTTATTTTTGTTCCAATAAACAATGTAAAATCGTTGTGGCAAAGACCAAACGTCCGTCAGAATCAAAAGCATTAGCAAAAAACGATTAATGAATCCATGAATGAATGATAAACAGCAAAAAGTCGATTTTACGTTTAATTGAATTTGTTTACGTCGTTTTTATTCGAACGTTTTTCCAACTCTGTTTACAAGGTGGCCCAGTGCCTTCGTATCGAGGGTGGTTCATGGGGGTTTTGCCCCATTCGATTTTTAATTTGTTTTTTCTATATTTCGACACTACTAGCGTGGGGGATGCCGTGGTTAAAATTATTGCATATATTTCGCAGTCACCCTGTATAAATGCACGTCTTGGGCATTCACATGTTGCATTTTCTATCAAGAAATCCGAGTAAAGGTATATTTATCAACAATAAAACAAAATATGTCATAATTATACTTAATACAAAAATTTATCAATTTACATTAACTTACCATAACCTTATACTCATGCGCAATACGTTAAAAATGATGTATGTTACTTTGACGAATATCGTTGTTTTTAATTTGCAATATTTCTTTAACAGAAGCTTTTATAAAGTTAAATCTTTAGTAACATAAAAACAATTGTACAGCTTTTGCCCCTTATGGCAAGAAGTAGCTAAGATTTCTACCTATGCGGCGTATTTTGTCTGCAAAATCAAACTCCCATAAGAAACCCATAGTAGAACTTTTGAATTATGAACTGCCGCACAATCTAAATTCTAACCTTACTCGAATGGTCCATTGAGATAGGGCCGGTGGGCGGGGCTTATATGTTGCCTTTTCTTTTCTTATTACACATAGCCATCTTTTCACAACAAGAAACTTAAAACATAGTTAAAATGGTACATTTTTGCAAGGAAATATGGATTTTGCAATTATGGGGCGGAGCCTAATTGCAAACTCGATATTTCCTAATACAAATTTTCCATTTTAAACATGTTTTAAGTTTCATCTTGTGAAAACAAGTCTACACAATTTAAAACAAAAAAGGAAAATGTAAACCCGCCCACCCGCCCTATCTCAATTGTGATGATTTTTTTATTCGCCTTGAACCAAGGGAACGAAACTTAACTGCAAAATACTTATTTCTTTACAAGAAATTAAAAACACGTTTTTGAGTATCGTATTATTCAAATAATACTATATATATTAAGAAAAAAAGGCAAAATATAAACCCAACCACCCACCCCATTCCAATTGTTATGATTTTTTTCCTTAGAATCTTAACACATGTATCTTCGATAACTCCAACCGTTTTTCCAGAATTGCCCATGGTAATATCCAAACACGCTATATTTTTAAAATCAGCATGTCAAGATCTTAAACCCTGAATTTCTTGAGAATTTTTAGACATCTTTTTCACAAATTTCGACTGCGTATACCCCCTTTGGCAAATTTCGACCCATTTTTTAACAGTGGAAATTTCCGGTGATTCGTCATTTGAGCCCTTAGTGTTGCGGTAAAAAATTGATGGTATTATTTTCCACAGAATTTTCCACTGATCTTCACTAAAATGTTTCTGACACACTCGTCCATGCTTGGATAGTATTATTATATTATTGGAACGAAATTAGAGAGTTTGTGAAATTTCATTAAAAACAATTCCATCTTCTGTTAAAATGAATCGCGCTATTTGCCTAACTCTTATTTAAATATTATTTAGGAACACTAAATAGTTGTAGTTCTGAAGAAAAAAAGTGAAACGATATTTTAATAATATTCTAGAATGGATTCGATGTCGGGGAGTTTGAGAGATAGTGAACCCACCTCTCCCACATCTCCAGCAAGTCCGGACCCCACACTAGGTCGAACTGGAGCAACTTCACCAATCGCACTAAAGCAAGCCCTGAGTAGCTTAGCTACTTCGCCCCCTCTGGCCTTCGGTGGCCCCCCAAGACCACCCATCATCATAGACGCGGAAGCTTTAATCTCCATTGAAGTGGTAATAGTGATGGGTCCAGAACCTGTACAAATAGCAAACATACAATTCAACAATCTCGACATAATCGGTACTTCCAACTATACACAAAAACCCTCTCAGTAATCCATATTTTACAGCAAATCAAGAAACAATAGTCGAATTGATAGGGTTCACCCAACGCGTATTCCCCAAATCGCAAAAACCATCAACCATAAATTTATCGTCCTCGATATGTACAAACGTGCGCGAAACCACAGCTTCCACCGAGTCGCTTTTAAAAGAGTCGTCGAAATTGGGTTCCACCGAGCTTACTTTCGACTTTCACCGTCTGAATGTGCTTTTGTTGCGAGGAGTAGTACGAGAGGGGGTCTTGTGTGGGAAAAAAATCTGTACGGCCACTATGAGTGACGCCAAAATCCAGGCAACAGTCGGTAAGTTCGTTCCTAACCGTCTACCCTTCATCACGACGACTGTTGTACCCCCTAGCGGATAAAGTCGAAGTCGAAGGCTCCCTAGGTGGCCTCCAAGTCCTCGATCTCACTCCAGAGGGTCAAATGCACCAACGCATAATCAGCGTAGGCAGAGACCCTCTCCTGGAGTCCATGCATCCGATATACACCATGTCGGCGCCTCACGAAGACGACCGAACCGCTTTTAGCTTCAAGGTTGTAAGAAGTCTGGACATGAACGACAAAGATGTGGCTAATGTGACAGTCCGGATGGCGTCGTTGTGGTACACGCATTCGCCGCAGTTCGTCATGGAGCTGCAGTCGTGTGCGTCTGAGTTCAAACAGTATTTGTCGAATCTGGCGCGCTCGATACGAACCGCCGCCACCGATATGGCGTTGGGGTTGGTGCATGCTAGGTAAAGTTACTTAAGTCGAGTTAGGTGGGTTTTATTGTGTGTCGGTGTGGTAGGGCCGAGGCTTTGGCGCAGTCGCTGTACATGAACGCGCGACTGTCGACTTCGATTTATGGAAGCGCGTTGTCGTTTTCTGAGTGCTCGTCACCGAGGAAAAGGAGGCGGAGTAGTTCGATGGAGGCGTCGGGGTTCTCGTCGGCTAGGGATACGATTCCGCAGACGCCGTATAGTCCGGAAGATGAGGATAACTTGATAATTGACTTAAGGTAAAACGACTTATGATTTAATTTACTTAATACATGCTCGTAATTTCAGACTTGATGTTGAGCTAGACAGTCCAGTCGTGGTTCTTCCACAAGCCAGCAACAGTCCGAAAGTTTTCGTGGCACATTTAGGAAAAATCAGCATCAACAACAAATACGAAAACGAGTTTGAGAATGGTCACGACTTCGACTACTCGAATTTCCGTGTAGAACACTACGTCATTGAAATACGTGACATGAACCTATTTTCAGTAGACACAAGCAATAGGAGAGTGCCTGGACCTATGTAAGTCGACGCTTGCGCAACCACCGCCCCTAATAACACATTCTTTAGGATAAGCAAACCCGAAATCCTCTACAGTTGTAAGTCCTCGGCCAAACCCATTTTACACGACACAGTCCTCCAATTAAAAATCGAACGTGAAATCAACAAGAACACGCCCACGAGACACAGTAGCGAATCAAACCTTCTTCTGGACGATGACGAAACCGTAAACCACCACCCCTTCAACGAATATGTTTATGTAAACTTTTTAGACAAATTGGTTACACTATACACATTGGATATCCTTTCAGATCAAGGGTAGCGTTGTCAACGACTTAAAAGTGTCGCTCACGCGCACCCAATACGAACAGCTCCTAGACACGTTACAGTGGTTGACGTCGCCTCAAGTCATGCTCGATATACAGGGTGTTTCCAGAACCAACATCAAACCAATGGGGGCGTTAGCAAACATTAGTGAGGAAGACACAGGGGTCACCACACTCAACATGGACCCTCACGTCCGCGCCAAATTATTCCCTTCAGTCCAAACTAGAGTTAAAACTACCCCACAAACCATGGTATCCCTCAGAGTCCTCTTCGAACTTCCAGTTTTCACAATCGAGCTTCGAGGAGACTCCCCTACCGGTGAACAAGGTCTAGTCGACTTATCTTTCCGAGATTTTATTTTCAACTACGAGAAGTGCCACCTATACGAAACCAATGTTCAAGTGTCGCTGCGGTCGATCTTCATGGAAGATTTGCTTCAACCGGAAAACACTAAACAGAGAGCTATGGTGGTGTCGTCGTCCGGGCACGTACCACAAAGCTCGGCTTGCGTGTCGCGTTCTTGTCCCGATGTATCCTATATATCCCACTTTACTAGTCCGTCACACGGGTCTTTACCCGATCATTTGGAAACGGCACGAGTTTTCGGTATGAGACCGATGAAAATCCAGGAGAAAATCGACGTGGTGTGTCCGTGTACGCCGCCCCCGAGTCCCTCCCACGGTAAAATTCGACCAGAGAGGAATCTCGTTTTGATCAGTACGTTATTAGTGGATCCGTCCGCTCCTAATTTTAGTACGAGTTATAATTCGGTGAGTCGCGGAATGCGCAAGGATTCGTTTTAGTACCGGTTTGTTTTCCAGATACAACGATCGACTTCAGTGGATTTCAATTGTTTGGATTTGGTGATTAGTGTCGAGTCGTGGGTTGTGGTTATTGATTTTTTTAGTGCCTCACCGTCGAGTTCTTCGCGTGGTGCCTCTGCAGTGAATGTGAGTGTGCCGAGTAGCGAAGGGTCGCAGTCTGGTGAGTGTCGCGTTATAAATTTAAAGCACGAATTAATACATCTGTCTAATTTGTGTACATATAGCCGCTAAAGAAAACTCCGAAACCAACATCACCGTCCGCTCTTTAACCCTAGTCCTCGTTCGCCCCGACCGAGAAGTAGCCAAAGCCAACATATCAAACGTAGACATCTCGGTCAAAACAAGTGGGTTATTTAAGGAAGTCCAGGGTAAGTTAGGGTCCATGTCCCTGTTAGATCTCACCTTGCATGGCCAATTATACCGCGAAAGATTCATAACGACCGGAAAGCAAGCTTTGCAGTTTAGATACATAAGGTACCCTAACCCCTATCTCCGACTTAACTTAACCCGGATTATTGTAGAGATTCCGAAAACAAGAGTTTGGATTACGATGCGCAACTATCCATTGACATGTCCTCGGTTATGTATGTGCATACTAAACGATTCGTTGCTGAGCTGCAGGCGTTTTTTAACCATTTCACCCAATTGCAAGCTGTTATGAAAAGTATCAGAGCTGCGACTAGTGGGCAGACGGTTGGTTCGTGGACAATTGTATGACTTGTGTAGACTTTGTGACTTCCAGATACGCGACGATCCGTTAAAACTGTCTTTGGTGCTCAAAGCCGGTTCTCCGATGATTCTGTTACCAGTGAGTTCGAAATCTTCTGATTTGTTGATCGTGGATTTGGGGCAACTGTTAGTTACGAATTCGTTCAAACTATCAGGCGATGCAGACACTATAAGTGTACCTTTGAGTGATGGTAGTGTGTCGCATGTGCACAGCATCAATCTTACGATATTATTGTAGCGAAACGGTGTCTATTAGACGTAATGGTGATTGAACTAGACAACTTGGATTTGTATGCAGGAGTGAAAGAAAACGAGTTTAGCGCATCCAAAGACTGTTTCAAATTAGGTTGTGGACAAGTCACCAAACGAGGACCGTCGCTTTTGAAGGAAAAATTCCACCTGAAACTCCAAGTCGAACGAAATTTAAGTAACAATGTTTGTCATAGCGGTAAGTAAAAACCATCCGGGTGTGTAAATTTTAATTTGAGATTAGTTCCCGATATGAGTATTTATGGACAATTATCGACTCTGGATGGTCTCTTGGATCTTTCGCAATATCGTTTAATCCGAGGTTTGTTAATTTATAATTTGGGTGAAGACACAGAACGAGTGTTACCGTCTGTAACTCCACCACCAATCAACGCAGACGTAGGTATTTAAATTGTCACAATCGTGTGACTGAATTGTCAATTTTAGCCGAACATTCGCGACGTGTGGACTTTATCGTCGTTAAAACTCGACTTACAAAACGTCACTTTGTGTCTACAGACTGATACTAACTCAGCGCCGTTGACGTGCATCAATTTTATTAAATCGCGGCTCACAGTAGAAACGTTTAGTAATTTCAGTCAAGACGTTGATTTGATCTCTCAAGAAATTTTGATTCTGGATACTCGATTTAACGACGTGCCTGAAGATAGCCGTTCCAATGTTTTCCAAAACATACTACAACCCATAAAACACTCAAAACAAGAAAATTTAGTGCAGGCCGAGATTCACAGTAGGAAACGGTTGGAACATTCGAAGTATACCATTTTGTTGAATAATATGAGACTGATGGCTGTGTTCGACTGGTGGGAGTCGGTTCAGAAGTACATATTTCAACAAATCGAGAACGTTTCGAGTAGTCCAGAACACCAGAAGGTTGTTACGAGTAAGAAAACCGATGAGACTCCGTATGAGTTGAAGTTGAATATAACCGACTCCGAGATCGTTGTGGTTGAGGATACGTCTCAATGGGATTCGAATGCCGTTATTTTAAAGGTATTCAAATTGTGTGTATGGTCTATTTTTAAATTTAAATTGTAGAGTACTACGGTTGTCACCTACAAACCCTTCAACATCGAAAAACCGCTATCTTGTAGTTTAAACAACTGCGAGATGTTTTCGTGTATACTCGGAATGGAAGACGAAACAGCGTTATCTATCATAGATCCGATTACGTTGAATATGGATATCAACAAAGACCACATTCTAGAAGCCCAGCTTCAATTTTTAACCGTTCGATTGTCGTACCATGACATGTGTATGTTTCTACAAATGCTTAATTCCATTCCGAAACAGATGTTTGCGTCTAAGGAACAAGATCACGAAGACGTGATCGTTAAAAGTAATGTTTGTGTGTAGCAAAAATATTTGTTAGTAAATTGTGGTTTCAGATCGAATTGCCAGATTAACGGCGCTGGGTTTCAAAAACGACGATTGTGTGAAAGCGTTGAGGTTGTGTGACCAGAGTTTAGATGATGCCGCTTTGTGGCTGACCCAGAACGCCGCTCATTCCCATTTCGAAGTCAGAAGTCCGTCTCCACTTAACGTTAAAGCTATCGAGGTATTTGATGGTTTAGATATATCGAAATTGATTCATTTTTACTTCCCGAGCGTAAAGGTCGATTTATAAACTTGTCGCTGACGTAAGATAAACACAGCGAAGGTATGCGTCGTTTACATCATCCGTTGGCGTTTGAAAAATGGCGGGATGCGTTCAGATTCAAGTGGTGGACCCCAAGGTTGGAAAAGTACCGCTAAATAAAACACAAAATTTATGGAGGACACAAAATTATTTATTTCTCCACTGACAAAAAAAGAAAAAAAGTTGCGTGTGAGGGTGACTCGCTTTTCAGCTCAAAAAAAAAAACTTATTGAACTTTGGATGAAATTTAAACGAAATCAAATTAAATGTTCTGAATCAATATTTGAATATCACAAATTTAATAAAAAAAAAACAAATCAAAATGTGAATTAAAGTAATTGGATGCAAATACACAAGTTACTACAGACGTTTGGCGGCAAATTTAAAATTATGGCAATTAACAAGAACACAAAATTTAAAAAAAATCTATGCAGCAGCATCAGGGCGCTCGCTGTAAGAGTGTGGCGATCGACTATGTTAATTTCATTCTAGAACACATCAAAAATACCCATAGAGTTGTAGCACGAGTGGAGTTTGGGGCTCCCGGTCGTAGCTGTTCTCCCCCGCGACGGTGATTCTATCTATGACAAGCACTACCGCTCAGCACCCCTCTATCTAACGAAGAGACGTACCGCGCTACTCAGGACGTTACGGTCGCAAACTCGTGGTTGGAAGTCACGGCTATAAATAACCTGACAGCGTCACGTTATTCGGACCCCTGGCTTCTATACAAAGCCTGCATCCTTTGTGCAGATGGCGCAATAAATCCCGCTAGCTCGACTAGGAACCGCGTCCTCCGCTTCTGCTACGTGTTATTGTGTTATCTTACTCAATTCCATGTTAAATGTTCACTTTCAATGACGCTAATATTAAACTACAATTGAACAAGTGTCAAAATTTCAAAAAGGGCAATAAACAACAAACTTATCGAACTTTGGATGAAATTTAAATGAAATCAGATTAAACGTTCTGAATCAATGCAAATATTTGAAAATCACAAATTTAATACTCCCCTAAAAATAAAGCAAAATCTGAAGTAGAGTAACTTGATGCAAATACACAAGTTATTACAGACGTGTAGTGGCAAATTTAAAATTATGGCAGTCAACAAGAGCACAAAATTTTAATAAAAAAAACTAGGCAGCGGCATCAGAACACTATAAGAGTGTGGCAATCAACTATGTCAATTTCGTTCTAGAGCACAACAAAAATACTCATAGGGGGTGTTGTAGCACGAGTGGAGTTTGGGGCTACCGGTCGGGACTGATCTCCCCCACGACGGTGATTCAATCTATCGCAAGCACTGCCGCAAAGCAATTCCTGAATTATATTCTAACCTGCATCTTTTGTGCAGATGGCGCGATAAATCTCGCCAGCTCGACTAGGAACCGCGCAGTCCGCTTCCGCCACGTGTTTCTGTGTTATTTAACCTCAACTTCATTTATATGTTCAATTCTTATGACTGATCTTAAACGACAACTGAACAAGTGTTAAAGTTTAAAAAAAGAAATAAACAACATTTAAATTCGCCATACAATCTTGTGGAATTTTAAACAACAAATATAAAAATAATTTATTTGATGGAAACATTCATCAACCAAATATTTACATAAAAAAAACTAGCAAAGGTTTATGAAATCAAAAAATCTGGTGTGAAATAAATTTGAGAAAATAAAATATTACATGAGGTTAGAAACTGCAGAACATGAATGTTTATGTTCAATTTGAATTAGACAAGGAAGAAAACTACTGAAGTTCAAATTGTGAGATAGGGAAATATTGTATGAGGTGAAAATTGCAAAGCTAACAAATTTACATGAGGTTAATGTTTGCCACACTTCATCAACGATTCAAACAAAGAGTTTAAGTTATGTTAACTGATGCCGTAACGCAAGTGATTGGTTACTTAAAACAATTAGCTTTGAGAGTTTCTATCGTGAACTGTCCCCAGCATATCCCAAACAAAACACATGATAAATAAACACAAAAATATGCAATCAGCGTTGCGAAGAATAAGCGTCTCGATGATGTAATTTTTGGCGTGACGGGGAAATGCCTCGGTAATGTAAGTTTCCACGTTGCGAGTAAATGCCTCGGTGATGCAATTTTCCACGTTGCGAGAGAATATGTCTCGGTGATGTAATCAATCTTTAGCGTTGCGAGGAAATGCCTCGGTGATGTAATTTTCCACGTTGCGAGTAAATGCCTCGATGATGCAATTTTCCATGTTACGAGAGAATAGGTCTCGGTGATGTAAAGATGATAACGGTGATAATAACGATGATAACTGCCTAAGGAAACAAATTATTTTAATCCCCCGCCAGTTCACGATGTTATGAATTCCGCTTGTTACTTTTACGGTCTTTTCCCAAAGTGGGGCAACGTTAGATTGATTTAACTGCCGTTAATGAACTATTAGCGATCTTGTGTGAGAAATTAAGAAGTGTTATACTGAAGTATTAGCATCCAGAAACCTCATTCATAACTTGTAAACAAAGGGTGTTATCCGTATTAAGTGAATTTCATGAAATCAACTAGGAAGTTCCTGATCGTTAAACTGTGTTAGAACTAGTTAACGATTAAACTCCTAACATATACTGTGAATTTACAAACAATGAATTAAATTTACACGTATTGGCATCGTTCAAAAATTCGCATTTTTCGGTTAGAAAGCCGCAAGAATTAGTTACGCCTGTTAACGAAAACTGTGGCGTCGTCGTCGCCACGATTAATTGTCGTTAAACAAAGGCTTCTTCCCTTTTATTAACTACCAAATTAACTAGCAAACTTACAGCGTCTTTTCACCATGCTCTCACTCACGAAACCAAACAAACAATGACGCTTTCACCATGCTTTCGCCATACCGCCATCCTAACTGCCAACTAACCTTCTAACTAAAATCTGAAGCAGACTACACACTACACCAAAGCGCAAATGGTTGCCTATGTTTAACGATTTTTTTATTGAATTTTTTTCTCAAATTCAAATTATTCAAATGTTAATGTTAAATTAATTTCACCCCGAAAATTTTATTCAAATTCGGTCACCACAAGATTTATTCCTAAACATGTTTGAAGTTTCATGTTGTGAAAAGAAGTGTACACATATTAAAACAAAAGGCAAAATGTAAGTCCGCCCACCCACCCTTTCTCAATTGTGATGACTTTTTTTATTCGCCTTGAACCCAGGAAGCGGAGCTTAACCTGCGAAATACTTATTTCTTTACAAGAAATTAAAAACATGTTTTCGAGTATCGTGTTTTTAAAAAAATACTGTATATATTTAGAAAGAAATGCAAAATACAAACCCCGCCCACCCACCCCATCTCAATTGTAATGATTTTTTTTTATTCTTAGAAACTTAACACGTTTAAACTGGTAAATTTTTGTAAGGAAATATGGATTTTACAATTATGCTCCGCCCCTAGGTCTGCCAACGAATGAAAACTTCATTACTATTTAGATCAGGGCAGGTACGGGTGGGGCTTAATCTTTACCTGTAATTTTTTCTTAATCTGCATACATAGTATTTTTTGGAAACACGATACTCAAAAACATGTTTTTAATTTCTCCTAGAGAAATAAGGATTTTACAGTTAAGCTCCGCCTTCTTGGCTCACGACGAATAAAAAAAAATCTTCACATTTGAGATAGGGTGGGCGGGCGGGCCTACATTTTGCCTTTTTTTCTTAATATGTGTAGACTTTTTAGACAACAAGAAACTTAAAACATGTCTAAAATGGTACATTCTTGTAGTAAACAGCTTAAATCTTCCACTCTGATTCTACAACCCCTTTAAATACGACAAAATTACTTTCAACGGGAACTTCATTACAACGTCAACAGCAAGTTTATAAATCCCTCTTAAGAGTACGAACAAATAGGTCTCCCGATTCAGTCTGTCTGTCTATCTGCCGTCTGTCTGGATTTTTATTAGACAGATAATTTTACAGTTTAACTTTGAAACAGCAGAACCGAATGCTCTGAAATATATGAAAAAAAAAACTCAAGTCAAAAATCTGCGCCACTTTTTTATATAATTTTTTAACCTATTTTTCGTCATTTTTAAGGTTAAAGCCAACTGCATATCGATTTGTATCATCGACGATTGCGGCGATTCAGACGTCCCTTTGCTCGAGTTATCCTACGCAGAATTAAATCTGCACCAGCTTTTACCCGAATTCGATATCAAAGATCCGGTGTACCCGCAAGGTACACTCGAATGCGTCTTAACCGGCGACTACTACAACCGCGTGTTATCCGGCTGGGAACCAATAATAGAACCTTGGAAGTAAGTCAAACCCACTTAGAAAAAAAACCTTTTAACCCTCCTCCAACAGATGCAAAATCTCATGGGAAAAATCTCTCACCAAAGACCTGAAACGAAACCGCTTGAACTTAAAAATCGAATCAGCTAAAGTCATCAACATGAACATCACTTCAACCCTAGTCGAACTCTACAAACAAGTGAAAGAAAACTGGACCAAAGATTACTACAGTGGGGACGACAACCATAAAGAAAAATCGCCAACGTTTCGACGCAGGTCGCCTTTTGTACCGTTCGCGCTCAAAAACGACACCGGGTCACCGCTGCAGTTCACGACTTTGATAACCGAACTGAATAAGTTTAAAGCGGCGCCGGACTACAACGCCAGCGATTCGTGGGTACTGGTGGCTCCAGGTGAGACGGTACCGTTTTCGTTTCGAAATCGGGTGAAAATGAGGCACCACGACTCGCATAAAATGAAAATGCATCAGTTGGGTGTCAAAGTGGAAGGGTGGGAGACGCTAACTCCGGTGACTGTGGATAAAGTAGGGATTTACTTTCGAATTACGCATGCGCAGGTTCAGAATAGGGTACGTATGCGTTCATTTGAAAAATTAATAATTATTTTCCGTGCTTTCAGTCATTAAGCGAAGTACCATCAGCTCGAATCGTATTTGATATTTCGTTGGAAGGCTCGGCTAGGAAACTCATCACGGTGCGGTCTGCACTTGTCATTTTTAATAAGTTGCCACATTCCGTTGATCTGAAACTAGAGAGTCAGCTGCCTCACTCGTCAGGTACTCGTTTATTAGTTAATTTAATTTCAAACTGATGTGATTTTGTTAGTGACTATGTGGGCCGCCAGCAAGACTTTCAACATCGACAGTGGTGGTTCTTTGGCAGTACCGGTGGTTCACGCGCATTCTTTAATAACAGCACGACCTACGGGTTTCTCTTATAATTATACGTACTGCTCGCCGACTTTGTCGTGGTCGCAAATGCCCAGTTATATAGATTCTGTGTATGAACCCAGAATATGTCACTCACACAAAGGGCACCTCTACAGGTTTTGTACCCAGTTAGTTAAGGAGGCTCACAGTAGTGAAAAAAACATCCACTTGGGTCAGCCCGCCCACAGAATAATCCTCCTACCGGCTGTAAAGCTGTGCAATCTTCTACCCATCGACATCAGCTATCATATATCAGGGGACAAAGGCACAGTCACCGCCGGATCCAACTCAGCTATTTCAAACGTACCTTTGGTGACTTTCAACCCAAACGTCTGCTTACACACTTGTTACAGGTGAACCTCGACGACACCGTCGAGCTAGACGTGATCTTAGAAAACTTCACAACGACGAGCAAAGTCGTCATTCCAGTAGGGTGCAACATCGATTTTAAATGTAGAATTAACCTGGAGGATGAACGTGGAAGAAAACTATTTTTGTTAGCCATCGTCTCGCCAAATAACGGTGCCAAACTCAAAATCACGGTCTCGGCGCCATATTGGATCATCAATAAAACAGGTCTACCTTTAGTTTTTCGCCAGGCTGGAACGTCCCACGAGAGTGCAGGCCAATTCGACGAACACGAAATCGCAAGAATGGTTAGCCCTCTACTTTTTAGTTTTGCAGACCAGGAAGCAAGCCCTACGATTAATGCAAGAGTCGGCAATTACGTCATACCGGATGGCTCACCTCAGGTTCGGTACAACTTTTGTGTTAACTCAAAACTTACTAAAGTGTCTACAGTGGTGTTCGAATTTTCACGTACAAAAAGGTATACAGGTGAAGAAGTTGCACGTGACTATGCGCGACGGCAAGCCTGATACGGTGTTCATTGTGGGTGTTGAGGTCCGACCGGGTCGTGGCAAGTATAGGTCAACCAGTATTATAACAATCTCGCCAAGGTACCAACTGTACAATCAAAGTTCCTATAAGTTGATGTTCACTCAGAGTTGCTTTGCCAAGAACTTGGTAATTGATTACACAAGTTTTTTATAAATGTGACACTTAACTTGATTTTTGATTTTGTAGACGGATTCCAAGTCGCACAAAACTTGCCTAAAAGTCATGCCAAATTCACACATTCCTTTCCACTGGCCCCGACTCGACAAAGACCAGTTGTTGTGCATCTCCATCCAAGACATCCCGGATTGTTGTTGGTCCGGTGGTCTTAAAATCGACGAAATCAATTCCCTACACGTGAATGTCCGTGACTCCAACGGACGGGTTTATTTCCTGAGACTCGAAGTTCTTCTTCAAGGGGCCACTTTCTTCATTATTTTCACAGATGCCGACACGCTGCCGCCCCCTATCCGCGTGGATAATTTCTCCGAAGTCACTATACGCTTTGCCCAGACTTGCTGCAAAGATTTGATGCATAGTACGGCACGAGCACACAGCAGCGTCCCATACGCTTGGGACCAACCCACCGAGCGGCAATTCCTCACAGTCACAGTCCCGGGCGGGGTCTCAGAAACCTACGACTTAAACAAACTCGGGAGTGCGTCTAGTCTTACCTACGAGAATTTCATCTACATCGCCTTCACCGGAACCTTCAAAAAGTAACACCACAATTACCCCAGTCGTAGTTTCTGACGGAGTTGTTGCAGTGATCAAGATATGCTCGATCCGCTCGATGTCGAAAGCCAGGAGTTAGTACTGGATGTTGCTAATGCTAATCAGGTTGTTCTGAGCCGGAAACGGCAGGGGTTGAGGTCTCAGTTGTGGCGGATGACGCCGGAAGGGCGCTTGCAACACGAAGGTAGCAGTCCGCCCTCATACCCTCATCAACCTACCAAGTCTGATAATGTTCTGGTTTTGGATATTGAGAATACGGCGCCTCAACCTAATACGTACTCTAGGTTGGTGTTGCGCAGGGTTGATCCTAGGAGAAGGTCCACGCAGACGTGGAGGTTCACCGAAGAAGGAAGGCTGTGTTGTGCCCATTGTAATATGTGTGTGCAGGCTCAGGATGGATTTTTTGGGTTGAGACAAGGTGAGTGGGTCGCTTCGGGTCATGTTAGATTTTGTCGTCATTTTTTGTAGGGAGTAGAAATGCCGGGAGCTGGCAGCAGTGTATGTACTTCCATTTTGTTTTTTTTTTTAATCGTTTTTTCTTTTGTGTTCCTTCGTATGTGCCGTGTAGTGTGTAGTTGTAGTAACGGAAATTCAGATTTCTTAAGCGGTCTGTAGTGCGCATGCGCCGTGTAGATTTCTTTTTATTGCAATGTAGTTAGAGTTAATGACTTAAGCGGACTCGCTAAAGGAGGTATAACAATTTTTTTCCTTTTTACTTTCCGAACGTAAACTAAGGAAGTATTGTAATCGAGTCTATTGTGTAACTCGCTACTGTTATTACGAAAATCGTGTAAATGTTAAAACGCTAACTAAAATTTGTCTGATCATCCCCACTACAAAGGCGATGATGTCATCCTCAAGATTTACAATAGTAAATGTTATTTAAATTTTATAAAATAACATACTCTTCCACATTTTAAGGTTATCGGAAACATGGTCAATCATTAATCAAAATTTATCCATTTATTACTTAATGAGGAAGAAAACGAAAATTAAAAACAACATAAAACATTGGTCCAAAGTTGCTTCGACAGAACTTCCCTCGCTTTTGAAGTACAATTTGGTTCTGCTTCTTTGAAAAATTGCAAAAAAATTTTGTTTTCTGATAACCTTTATACATATATTAAAAACCAGTGGCGTAAATGACACCTGGAACCCCCTGTGCCGCGGGGGCGCAAATTCCAAGGAGGTGCCGTCCGCAGACGTAGGGACAACATTGTTACGTTGAACGGGTGTTTAAAAATCGGCGTGGGTAAAACTCAACAATTTGTTTCTCACTAGCTTTTCGCCCGCGGCTTCGCTCGCGTAGACGATTCGTTGTGGTGAAGAGCATTATTATCAACCTTCAAGTAAAAAATGTGTTGAAGGACATTAATACAATTTCCAGTAAAAATCGACATAAAAAATGTTTGCTCGTAAAAACTTTGTCACCCCCTTTCATCTTCTTAGGGGTGAAATCTCGAAACAATCTGAAATACGGATTTCATTATTTGTGTTGAAGAGTATTAATACCAGGTTCCCCGTAAACATTTAAATTTACAGTAGAAATATTTTTCCCGTACAAACTTGGCCACCACTTTTCACCCCGTTAGAGGTTGAATCTCGGAAAATAATTAAATACGTGCTTCATTATTTGTATTGAAGAGCATTAATACCAAGTTTCACGTAGAAATTTAAATTTACAAATATTTTTCCCATACAATTTTAGCCACTACTTTTCACCCCCTTTGGGGTTGAATTTCGGAAAATGCTAAAATACGTGTTTCATTATTTGTATTGCAGACAATTAATGCCAAGTTTCACATAAAAATTTAAATTTACAATAGAAATATTCCCACACAAATCTAGCCACCATATTTCACCCCCTTTCGGATTGAATCTGTGAAAATATTTAAATACGTGTTTCATTATTTGTGTTGAAGAGCATTAATTTAATATCAAGTTTCACACTAGAAATATTTTCCCATACAAATTTAACCTCCACATTTCACCCCCTTAGGGGTTGAATTTTAGAAAATGCTTAAAGACGAGTTTCATTATTTGTGTTGAACATTAATACCAAGTTTCACGTAAAAATTTCAATTTATTGTAGAAATATTGTTCCTATATAAACTTAGGCACCCAAAGTTAGACACCACTTTTCACCCCCTTTGGGGTCGAATCTGCTAAAATGATTAAATTCGTGTTTCGTTATTTGTGTTGAAGAGTATTAATACCAAATTTTAAATAAACATCATCTCAAAATTTACAATAGAAATATTTTTCGCATACAAATTTAGCCACTACTTTTCACCCCTTTAGGGGTTGAATCTCGGAAAATGCTTAAATACGTGTTTATTTGTGTTTAAAAGCACTAATACCAAGTTTCACGTAAAAATTTCAATTTATAGTAGATATATTTTTCCCACACAAAGTTAGCCAGTACTTTTCACCCCCTTAGGGGTTGAATCTCGGAAAATTAATACCAAGTTTCACGTAAAAATTTAAATTTACAATAGAAATATTTCCACACAATTGTAGCCACCACATTTCACCCCCTTAGGGGTTGAATCTGGAAAAGTGCTTAAATACAGGTTTTATTATTTGTGCTGAAGAGCATTAATATCAAGTTTCACGTAAAAATTTAAATATATAATCGAAATATTTTCCCATACAAATTTAACCACCACATTTCACCCCCTTAGGGGTTGAATTTTAGAAAATGCTTAAAGACGGGTTTCATTATTTGTGTTGAAGAACATTAGTACCAAATTTCACGTAAAAATTTCAATTTATAGTAGAAATATTATTCCTATACAAACTTAGCCGCCCAAACTTAGACACCATTTTTCACCCACTTAGGGGTCGAATCTCCGAAAATGCTTAAATACGTATTTCCTTATTTGTATTGAAGAGAATTAAAATGTACCAGGTTTCACGGAACGATGTAAATTTACGGTAGACATATTGGTCCTATACAAATTTTATGACCGCTTTTTAACCCCCTTAAGGGATGAATTTCGAGAAATCCCTTCTTTAAACGATACCTCCAGTATAAAATGAACATTCTCTCCAAATTTCAGCTTTCTAGCATTAGCGGGTTGGTCTGGGCGTTGATAGGTCTGTCGGGACATTGCCTTTTATATATAAAGATTAATTCAAATTTACTCTACTGATTACACAGCGATTATATACAAAATAAATCCGGTGCAACTTGGATGGACTATGTTTTCGCTCAACTCGATTTAATCCTATACGTTCCTCTCGATGGATCGAGAACGCCGCTTCGAGGTTTTTCTGGGTTGCCCATCGGGACTTCCGCTTCCGGGTTTTTCTCCGGCCGGCGCCACTGACGTCATCATCTCCGTACATACTAGAACCCATAGGCGTCGTACCGGGGCGGCATATGGGTTTATTTCGTAACAATATGAAATATATTCAAAGCAAGTAACCAACGGAAAAGAGACAATTATTATCAATGTACATGCTTAATTTCGATTGCTTATGGTTAAACATCGAAAGAATGTCACGTAGAAATTTGTTTAATTTGAATGAGTTGTCTCCTCAAAACAAACGACTAAAATTATTAATTAAGCCACAGTGGAATAAAATGTTTTGAATAAAATTATTATTATTCTTATTTGATCGTAATTAAATAAAGACGTGGGTATTCTCAACTCTTCTAGAAAATGAGGATCTTAATTTGATCAATAAAAAAATTGGTCGAAGGCTATAAGTATAATCCGACAAATCCTGATCTTAAAATATATAAGAAACTTGATTTTACGATTTTCGTTTTGTAATAACACCCCCGCAGCCCCTGCGCCGTACGGACAGTGTAAAATATATTTAAAGCACAGAACTAACGACATAAAATGTCCTTCAGCACTAGGTAATAGCAATCTGAAGCTCAAGTGTTTATGTTTATTCATTTGTCACGTTGAAATTAGTTCGATTTGAATGAATTTGTCTTCTCAAGACAGAGGAATAAAATTATTAATTAAACCACAATCGAACAAAATATTCTGAATATTACAATTCTTATTTTATCATTATTGTATTATAAAGACGTTTTCGAGAAAATAGGGTGACTGACTCGTTCTTAATTCGACTAATAAAAAATTTGTGACGACTTCCCTTCCACCGAAAGTACAATGAAACATATCCAGCATTTTCGAGTTGAGTTTTTACATTGCATAATTTTGTGCGCACACGTTTATCACTAAACCTCATTGTGGTAAATTACATACCCTCTAACAAACAATATTAAGAGTAATTACTGGAATGAAGAGGGGGTGGGTGGGCGGGGTTATCGCTTGCTTATAAAAGATTCTGTATGAAAAAGTTAAAGTTAGCCCCGCCCACCCACCCGTTCTCTAATTTTTTTTCTTCGGAAAAAAGAAATAAATGTTACAGGAAATAAGTAGTACATTAAAAAAAAGTACGATTAACGCTTTTCTTTAACAGCCAATGTTCTTTTAGTTTCCATTCTCACTTTACAAAAGAACATATAATTCGGAGATTACCTGTCTAATAAAAATCGGGACGACTGACGGACAGACAGACGGAAACCGGAGACTTTCTTCGTACTCTAGGGGTCATGAAATGTTGAGAAAAAATATTTATTAGGCAACAAATGGCGCCAAATTCAAACTTACCTGTCGTCTAGCGTTCCCCCTTAAGTATTATATCACCACCTTCATGCATGCTTAATATTTTTTCAGTGAACACAATTGAAATCCTATATTTGTGTTTCATAATCACTATGCTTAGGTATCGTTCGTTTTTCCTTCTATTTTAGTCATTAATTAATGATTCTGCTTACCACTTCAAGGTTTTAATTTCAAGTAGATTTGGAGTCATTAAAATGTGCCTAAACCACAACTTAAGTCTTACTCCTTGCAGGGAATTCGGCCGTGTTAGGTTTCCCCCAACCCATATGCCACAAACTAACCGATTCAGGCATACCCATAGAGCAGGCGATAAGTCGCCAACGACTTCGCCCCGGCTCCGGTCTGCTATCCGTGAGCATAACCATGGACGGTCCAACTCGCGTCCTGAGCATAAAAGATATGAAAGAATCCCGAATATACGCCACCCCAGACGACCGAGAGTGGGGCAGCATATCACTAAAACAAAGACCAAACCTCACTGTAGACGAAAACGAAGAAAAAGTCGACAAACGAGAATTACAAATAACCGTGAACTTAGAAGGACTCGGAATCAGTTTAGTTTGCTGCAAAACCCCGGAAGAGTTATTATATGCACTATTTTCCAACATAGTCGGCGAAACTGTGATCACACCCTCGTCGAAACAATTTTGTATAAGCGTGGGAGACGTGCAGATTGACAATCAGGTAAGTTTTGGGTCACGTTATTTTGACAAATATATTATACGGAAAATTTCTAGTTATTCGAAACCCCAGTTCCTGTCGTTCTCTACGTTACACCCCCAAATTCGCGCAATAACGACGAACTCAATCACAGACTGCCAGCAATCGACTTCACGGCAGAACTCCAAGAGAAACTGAACACGAACGCCGATATTTTTAAGGTTGTTTGAAAACTTCTTAACCAATTTTCTAAATATTGTTGTTCTAGTATCTCATTTTACGTTTGAAAAAAATTACAATCATCCTTGAAGAAAAACTTCTTTTGAAGTTGTTTGATTTCATTGGTTACCACTCGCGAGAGGAAGAACTGATTAATAAAGACGAGAATGATTACGAAGTGCAGCGGTTGCTCCTCGAGGTTTCTGCAGCCCACTCCAAACGCTACTATTTCGGGGTAATTCAACTAATCTTGGACCAAATACGACTGAGCGTGAAAACCGCCACCAAACTTCCGCCACACTTACAAAAAATCAAACGCAAACTCGGCCTGACTTTAATTAAATTCGAAGACGCCGCCGTCGATTTACAAGCGTTTGACAGGCGACACCTCTTCGAAACGAGCCAGTTTTTGATCAACTCCATCATCAAGCACTTCAAGGACGTGAGTAATGAAATTATAAATTAATAGTAGTACAGGTGTAAACTCCTCCAGGAATTGATGTGGCAAGCGGGCATAATTCTCGTCTCGGTCGACTTCCTAGGGAATCCTTTGGGTTTCGTTAATGACGTTTCCGAAGGATTCTCGGGCTTGCTATTCGAAGGCAACGTTGGAGCTTTGGTGAAAAATGTGACTCACGGGATATCCAACAGCGCTGTGAAAGTCACCGAGTCGATTTCGGACGGTTTGGGACGTGCGGTTCTGGACGACCACCACGAAGAAGTGCGCCAAAGAATCAGACAGGTGGAAAGTGGTCGCAGTCGAGACCATATAGTGGCGGGATTCAAGGGTTTGGGTTTTGGGATTCTAGGGGGCGCCACTGGTTTATTTAAACAGGTGTATGAAGGGGGTTCAAATGATGGTTTTCCAGGGGTAATCTCAGGTATCGGGAAAGGTCTAGTAGGTGCTGTTACTAAACCAGTAGTCGGAGTTCTCGACTTTGCGTCAGAAACAGCTAGAGCGATCCGGGATTCAAGCAGAAGGTATAGTTGAAATTCTGATGATTTTTTGTTTCTTACGTTGAGGTTATAGTAAGTCAGCTCCTGAGCGTATAAGACTTCCGAGGTGTGTTTGCGGCCCGGGTAGTTTACTACCGCGGTATACTTTTAAGCAGAGCCAGGGTCAACTATATTTATATATGGTTAACGATAAGTAAGTAACGTAAGTTTTTAGGTACGTATTATATTTGAGTGTTGTTTAGAAATTACAAAGAGCAGTTGGTTGCCTATGAAATCCTTGGTAGTGCATCTGAAGATTTGCACTGCATTGTTTCTAACCTGAAGTTACGTATAGTCGCGAGTACGCATGCGCCTGAACTTACTCCAGTCATAGACTGTCACTTAAGGTACGTACTCGAGTTAATTTTGCCCAAATAATCTGTTTTTTAGTGATTTAGAGTCATGCGATGTCATTGTGGAAAAAGAGGGTTCTGAATCTAGATACTACATTGAGATTGTGATGCACGTTGCTGGAACAAGCGCCGCTTTGGTAAATCCGGATCCTGTAAAAAAACCAAGAGTTCGTTGTAAATCGGCAGATTTAGCCAAATCAGTATCCCAGCAAATCAATTATGCTAAACGACTGTATTTCGAACGACTTTATACACTAAGCAGTGACAATATCATCAATTTAGAAGACTGAACTTTATCCACATTGTTTGTTTACTAGTATTATATTTGTTGACTCTTTATTCTTTTCTCTGGGTTTTAACACCTACTTGTTTCTATTTATTCCTCATTTATTTAAAGTGCCTTTATCAATTTGCTTTTGATGTGAACTGTGTAAATAGGCTGTTGATGCGCATTTGGTTTTTAGTTGTTTTATTTATTTCATTAGGGATTGTTTTGTTCTTTTGTTTTTTATTAAGAGCAATAATTTTCAACATGAACTAACGTGTAAATAATGTTACTATAATTTTTTACCAAAGATTATATTTCATTGGTGTTGCTATAAAGTTTTATTATAATGGATTTGTGTCACTTTCGATGCCCTTTGATCTGTGATTCCCTGATACTTGGAAAAATTGTGCCCAAAAGAGTGTGGGTGCAAACGTGGTGGTTGTAACGTTTCCGGTACACTGAGTGCCCGAAAATACCAAGAAAATGATTTGTAGGTAAGCGAGGAAAAATGTTGGTGCCCTGGTGGGAATCGAACCACACGTCTCCGGCTTGCCGGGCAGGTACCCTTACCACTAGACTACAGAGATGCCCATTTTTTTCCGCTTACTACTACTTATTATTGTGTCGCCACAGATCGAATTTTAGCTAGAGATCTTATTTTTGTCGAACTTTATGAGTTCTGGATTTGTTTTGACGATTCTGATCATCATGAGACACTGGTGATAGCAGAATCGACTTATTTTGCGAAAAGGAGACGTTTCGATATAATTTCCGCATTCCGGCGTTTGTAGATTCAAGAACTTCGCTAAAAAATTCAGAAATATTGCTTTTCAAGCTTTGTCTAGTGTTTTCTAGCGTTTCAGGCACACTGACGGCCCGAAAATATCAAGGAAATGATCCAATTTTAGCTAGAGATTTTATTTTTGTCGAACTTTATGAGTTCTGGATTTGTTTTGACGATTCTGATCGTCATGAGACAGTGGTGATAGCAGAATCGACTTATTTTGCGAAAAGGAGACGATTCGATATGGTAAAATCCCAAGAAAACGATCCAATTTTGACTAGAGCTCTTATTTTTGTCGACTTTTATGAGTTCTGGATTTATTTTGACGATTCTGATCGTGATGAAGCAGTGGTGATAGCAGAATCGACTTATTTTGCGAAAAGGAGACATTTCGATATAATTTCCACTTTCCCGCGTTTGTAGATTCAAGAAATTCGCTAAAAAATTCAGAAATATTGCTTTTCAAGCTATGTCTAGTGTTTTCTAGCGTTTCCGGCACACCGAAGGCGCGAAAATACCAAGGAAATGATCCAATTTTAGCTAGAGATTTTATTTTTGTCAAACTTTATGAATTCTGGATTTGTTTTGACGATTCTGATCGTCATGAGACACTGGTGATAGCAGAATCGATTTATTTTGCGAAAAGGAGACGATTCGATATGGTATCCGCATTCCGGCGTTTGTAACTTAAACAAATTCGTTAAAAAATTTTAGAAATGTTACTTTTCAAGCTTTGTCTAGTATTTTATAGCGTCTCCGGCACACTGAGGATCCGAAAATCCCAAGAAAACGATCCAATTTTGGCTAGAGCTCTTATTTTTGTCGACTTTTATGAGTTCTGGATTTATTTTGACGATTCTGATCGTGATGAGGCAGTGGTGATAGCAGAATCGACTTATTTTGCGAAAAGGAGACGTTTCGATATAATTTCCACATTCCGGCGTTTGTAGATTCAAGAAATTCGCTAAAAAATTCAGAAATATTGCTTTTCAAGCTATGTCTAGTGTTTTCTAGCGTTTCCGGCACACTGAGGGCCCGAAAATACCAAGGAAATGATTCAATTTTAGCTAGAGATTTTATTTTTGTCGAACTTTATGAGTTCTGGATTTGTTTTGACGATTCTGATCCTCATGAGACTCTGGTGATAGCAGAATCGAGTTATTTTGCGAAAAGGAGACGATTCGATATGGTATCCGCATTCCGGCGTTTGTAAATTAAAGAAATTCGTTAAAATATTTTAGAAATGTTACTTTTCAAACTTTGTCTAGTATTTTCTAGCGTTTCCGGCATATCGAAGATTCGAAAATACCAAGGAAATGATCCAATTTTAGCTAGAGATCTTATTTTTGTAGAATTTTATGTGTTTTGGATTTGTTTTGACGATTCTGATCGTCATGAGGAACTGGTGATAGCAGAACCGACGTATTTTACGAAAAGAAGACGATTCGATATATTTTCCGACATTTGTAGATTCAAGAAATTCGTTAACAAACTTCAGAAATGTTACTTTTCAAGCTTTGTCTAGTGTTTTCTAGCGTCTCCGGCACACTGAGGATCCGAACATCCCAAGGAAATGATCCAATTGTAGCTAAAGCTCTTATTTTTCTCGAATTTTATGAGTTCTGGATTTGTTTTGACGATTCTGATCATCATGAGGCAGTGGTGAATATCAGAGTCGACTTATTTTGCGAAAAGGAGACGTTTCGACATAATTTCCGCATTCCGGCGTTTGTAGATTCAAGAAATTCACTAAAAAATTCAGAAATATTGCTTTTCATGCTTTGTCTAGTATTTTCTAGCGTCTCCGGCACACTGAGGATCCGAAAATCCCAAGAAAACGATCCAATTTTGACTAGAGCTCGTATTTTTGTCGAATTTTATGAGTTCTAGATTTGTTTTGACGATTCTGATCGTCATGAAGCAGTGGTGATAGCAGAATCGACTTATTTTGCGAAAAGGAGACGATTCGATATAGTTTCCGCATTCCGGCGTTTGTAGATTAAAGAAATACGTTAAAAAACTTGTGACGGCATAATAACAGGTTAGTAAGCGAAAAAAGATAAGCCGCTCTGTAGTCTAGTGGTCAGGGCACCCCGCCCGTCAAGCGGGAAGCGTGTGGTTCGATTCCCACCGGGGCAGCAACATTTTTCTTTGCTTACCTACATTGGTGACCACCGACAGAAGCAACGCACGCACGCAAGCAACATCGTTCTGCTACCGCCCTGTGCTCGCTGTGTTTGGGGTCCGCAGCAACGCCAAGGTTCGAACGACAACCGTAAAAGTTGCAGCAGCGACGCCAACACCTATCTCCTTCGCACCCCAGCACGAACGCGCTGTGTCGCGGCACAATAACAAAATGGTAAGGGAAGAAAGATAAGCCGCTCTATAATCTAGTGGTCGGGGCACTCGGCCGGCAAGCGGGAAACGTGTGGTTCGATTCCCACCGGAGCAGCAACATTTTTCTTCGCTTACTTACAAACTTTCTTTATTATTTTTCAAGCTTTGTTTAGTGTTTTCTAGCGTTTCCGGCACACTGAGGGCCCGAAAATACCAAGGAAATTATCCAATTTTAGCTAGAGATCTTATTTTTGTCGAATTTTATGAGCTCTGGATTTGTTTTGACGATTCTGATCGACATGAAGCACTGGTGAGAACAGAATCAACTTATTTTGCGAAAAGGAGACAATTCAATACTTATATTTTCCGCATTCCGACGTTTGTAAATTCAAGAAATCCGTTGAAAAACTTCAGAAATACCAGTTTTCAACCTTTTTCGCGTGTTTTCTAGCGTTTACGGCACCCTGCGAACGCGAAAATATCAAGGAAACCCCTAAATTTTAGTTAAAAATCCTATTTTTGTCGAATTTTATAAGATCTGCAGTATATTTCGACTTGTTCCGACGATTCATCGTCGTAAGGCACTGACGATATGCAGAATTGACTTATTTTGCGAAAAGGAGACAACTGGGTATTTTTTGCACATTCTGTCATTTGTAGATTCAAGAAATTCATTAAAAAACTTCAGAAATGTTACTTTTCAAGCTTTTTCTTGTATTTTCTAGCGTTTCCGGCGTCCTGCAGGCCCGTAAATACCAAGAAAACCATCAAAGTTTAGCTAGAAATTTTCGACACTTATGAATAATGGTGGTAATTTATATTCTACAGGGTCATCAAAATTGTTTGAAAGAGTTGGTGGTCAGATTTGAATTTCAGATTTCTTTACGACAGAAACAGGGAGTAAGTACCAACCCTCAATCAATTTTGATAACTCGTTAGGTTAGAATATTAAAACTATGCTAATATACCTGATAAACAGCATTTTTAGTAACAATGCAAAATAACGTGCCTGTCAACAGCGCCTCTGGAGCAGAAAAAAAATATGGTAGACGCATTTTCAAACAATAAAACAACTTCAAGCAAAAACGAGTTTTATGAACCGCCTTGGTTCTTGGACCGTAACACCATACGATAATTTCCTTAAGTGTACCTTCACGAGACGGATATCAACAAACCTATGTAATTTAAAATCAAGAACTATTAAATTTTTTCTTTAAATGTATCTTTCCAACAAGGATATACGCTCTGGCGCTTCCCCTTAAGAATAATTGCGTTTTGTAAGTCATTTACATTTCATAGTGAGCACGCGTCAACATTTCCTAGTTTTTTCATAGAACAACGACGTACACTCAGTGTCAATAATACTGAAGGTGTCATCATAGTGAAACATGTCTCAACCAACAATCTCTTTTCCAATCTTTGGCCCTTTCGAAGTCATTCTCCATAACAAACCCGACGACTGCTGGATATCGTTCCTGGGCAAAGTTTTCGACGTGACTCCGTTAATAAAACAATATAAGCGTCAAGACTGCGTTAAGCCACTTATTGCCTTTGCCGGGAAAGATGTAAGCAATTGGTTTGATGAGAGAACTGGAGACATTCAATACCGTGTTCACCCGATCACGGGAGTTGAAGTTCCGTATTTACCTCATGGACCTCTTCCAGAAACAGAGTGTGAAGTACCGAGCACCAAGTGGAGGCCATACGAAAATCCCCCATGGTGGATGAGCCAGAAGTAAGTCACGATAAAACCGAAATAGTAGCTAAGTTGACACTACAGATACCAAATCGGATTATTGACGAAAATGGTACGACCTCTGAAAATCATCAACATGTTGCTGGCAAAAGAAGCAATAATAAACGTTTGCTGCGAAGACACTTTCTACAGAATAGCAGAAAGATACTCAATCTATAATTCCGAAACTGACAGCTACACTTGGGTGTGAGTTTCCAAAAATCGCCACACCACTTTGAGTACCGTTAACTGTCTTGTAGCTACTTGGACAACGTAATCGAAATGGACAAAACTATGGACGAAAACGGCATCCCCGACGACCGGGAAAAAATGGCCGAACTAGGAATCCCCAAAACCTTTTACATACCGAGCGTGTTTTTGTACTACAAAGACGACTTGAAGCACTTGGAAGATCTGTCCGACGACGACCATGAGCTCGACGCAGAAGTCTGCTGCACTTGTGCAGCCATAGACAAACCGAAGCCTTTTAACTTGTTCTAGTCACGGCATAAATTTAGATGATACAGCGATACTGCGTAATTGTTGCGAGTATAATAAAATTATAGCCGAGACATATGCTGTTTAATTTGCAAATGTTGGCGAACCATAAAAAGTTAAGTAAACCAAGCGGAAAACACAATGAACCTTTTGCAGCGTAAAAAATAAAACATACGTGAAGGTAACAATAACTGACGTGGATTAATGTGGAAGGAAATGAGAGTAGTTTTGACTTGGATATAAAAACAGTTTTGATGGTGTTCGTGGAAATGGAGGCTTGTTACATTGTAAAATCGCGATGCGAGGATAAGGAGTGAAAATTAGTATTGCGTGTAGTAGTTTTTAAGAGACAGGTGTTCCGTCAATTCGGCTTTGGTTAGGAACTGACACAATTTAGTAATTTTATTGTATTTCTATCTATATTTCTCTGTCACATTTTATTAATTGATTGAACTGGCTTAGAACATGAAAAAAGTTGCATTTTGATGTACGTCTACACTGACCGGCAAAAAAAATTGGCCACCCTGAAAAATTTCGCAAAACCAAACTTTAAAAATTATTAAATTAACTAGTGATCGTTATTTTATTAAAGAACTATTCACTATTGATACACGATGTATAAATTAGCAAAAAAAGAAGACAAATAAACGCAGAATTAAATTTAATTTAGCAAAATAACAGAAACAGAGCGACAATTTGAAAGGCATCTGTAAGAGTTAACGATCACTAGTTAAATTAATAATTTTTAAAGTGGTTTTGCGAAATTTTTCAGGGTGGTCGTTTTTTTTTACCGGTCAGTGTATATTAAACTCATTTTATTAAAGAAAAAATTGATCTAAAAAGTTTAGACAGTACTTCCCTCGCTGTGGAAAACGTGACGACTGCATGCCTATTATGTTTTTTTTCCGCATTACATTTTTGTAGCGGGGCATTTTAAAATAAATTGAATTATTTTTTTCAATTTCATCATTATTTGGCATTGACATCTTTGTCATTTTTTTCTGTGATTGCTATGATTGCGTATTAAAAAAAAATTAAATTGCACGAAGTCATCTCTGGGGTGTATAACATGTGGCCTATGCAAAAATTGTCAGGTATGAACAAATAAAGTGAACAGATAAAATGAACACCTGTATAGTACTTGTAATCTAAGCCAAATAGCCATAACACTGATACCAGCCTGTAGACGTGACGGTGAAACACAAACTAAAGTAAAACATGGTTTCTACGAATTTCAATAACCGGATGACAATGCGACGGTCTTTTTTTATTGCTCTGACTTCCGTTTATTGAATAAAACACTACATTTTATTTGGTTTTTGGATGCTGTAATTCACATTTGGTTAATTATAACTTGTCTATATCTAGGGGGGCATCCCCTAGCCTCCCCTAGCTACGGCCTTATGAAACATCGAGAAACGAGTACCAAATTGACCAATGGACTCCATTACTGTACGTCCTCAGATTATCCTCGGTAAGAAAAACAACTTGAAAGTGTTTATGTGTATACATCGGAAGAATGTCACGTAGAAATTAGTTTGATTTGAATACGTTCGACCCCTCAAAATAAGAACAAAACAATTAACTAATAAGCTACAATCGACAAGATGTTCTGAATATCATTATTATAATTCTTATTAAATAAAGACGTTTGTATTTTCACATTTTGGAGAAAATGGGATGATTCGTTCTTAATTTGATGATTGATAAAAAATACGAATGCTATAGTAAATTACAAGTATAGACTGATCATATTTTGCACATTTAAGATATGATTTATTCAGCAATATTTTGAGGTGACGTCATCAATTTTTTTTAGGGGGGATGATCAAATATATTTTTATCCCAAATTTGCCATGTTTATGATCATCTTAAAACATCTCCATGATTTCAAAACATTCGGTTTTGCAGTTGCTGATTAAATCAATAAAATAAATTCACGCATTCATTAATTTTTTTGAGTCACCCTGTATATGCAAATCGAAAAAATATGAATGGAAAGATAAATCACAAGTACAGACTCATCATATTTTGTAGGAGTACATTTTAGATAGAATTTATTCGGCAAAACTTTTGAGCTGACGTCATCAATTTTTTGGAGGAGATAAGTACATAAATACGTATTTTGTGATTAAAATTCTATCATTCTTATCATAAGCATAAACCATCTGCAAGATTTCAAAGCATTCAGTTTTGTAGATTCCAAATTAAATGTCAAAATGTTGCTTCCTAATTTTGATTTTTTTTCCAAAAATCTGGACGTTTCGGGTAAAATCTCAATAGGCAAATTATGGTTAGCGTTTTACCATTTACATGATATACCTAATATACATACAAAACTTGACAACAATCGGCCCAGTACTTTCGTAGATTATCTGTCTAGAAAAAATCCGGTACGGCAGACAGACGGACAGACGGACGGACGGAAACGAGAGACCTATTTCTTCGTCCTCTAGGGGTCATGATAGGTCGAGAAAATGCAAAAGTAGAGAGTCGGCCGACGGACTCGATTACAATACTTCCTTTGCTTATGCTCGGGAAAAATTGGTCGAAATTTGTTTCAGCAGAACTTCCCTCGCACCGAAAGTACATTGAAACATATCCAGCATTTTCGAGTATACGTATATCAACTTGGATTGCAGTGTTACCAGTGTAATACTTGCTAAAATAAGACTGATTGTGGCAAATTACATACCTACTAAGAAAATAGAGAGCGGGTGGGCGGAGCTAGTACTTGTTAAGATAAGATTGAATTTGGTCAACGACTGAACAATATTAAGAGTAGTCACTGGAATGTAGAGGGGGTGGGTGGGCGGGGCTATTGCTTGCTTATAAAAGATTCTGCAGAAAAAAGTTAAACTTAGCCCCACCCACCCACCCGTTCTCTCATTTTTTTCTTCAGAAATAAGAAATAAATGTTATAACAAATAAGTAGTATAACAAAGAAATTACGATTAACCTTGTTTTTAACAGCCAACCTTCTCACTTGACATAAGAACATATAAGTCGTCACGCCCACCCACCCAGCCTCCATTTCATCGAATCATTTTATGTAGTCCGAATGAAAGGTGGATCTCAATTGAAGAGAGATAAAGTCGTTATAATGAGAAGAGCGTCTGTGGGCGGGCCTAGTATCTACTAAGATAAGATTAATTTTGGTAAATGACATATCCTCTAAGAAAATAAAGGGTGGGTGGGAGGGGCTAGTACTTGCTAAGATCAGACTAATTGTGGCAAACGATATACCCTCTAAGAAAATAGAGGGCGGGTAGATGGGGCTAGTTCTTGTTAAGATAAGATTGAATTTGGTAAATATTTAAATAACTGAACAATATTAAGAGTAATTACTGGAATGAAAAGGGGGTGGGTGGGCGGGCCTATTACTTGCTTATAAAAGATTCTGTGGGAAAAAGTTAAACTTACCCCCACTCACCCACCCGTTCTCTAATTTTTTTCTTCAGAAATGAGAAATAAATGTTATAACAAATAAGTAGTATAACAAAGAAATTACAATTAACCTTTAGCCAACCTTCTCACTTGACATAAGAACATATAAGTCGTCACGCCCACCCACCCAGCCTCCATTTCATCAAATCATTTTATGTAGTCCGAATGAAAGGTGGATCTCAATTGAAGAGAGATAAAGTCGTTGTAATGAGAACAGCGTCTGTGGGCGGGGCTAGTATCTACTAAGATAAGATTAATTTTGGTAAATGACATATCCTCTAAGAAAATAAAGGGTGGGTGGGAGGGGCTAGTACTTGCTAAGATCAGACTGATTGTGGCAAACGATATACCCTCTAAGAAAATAGAGGGCGGGTGGATGGGGCTAGTTCTTGTTAAGATAAGATTGAATTTGGTAAATGACTGAACAATATTAAGAATAATTACTGGAATGAAGAGGGGGTGGGTGGGCGGGCCTATTACTTGCTTATAAAAGATTCTGTAGGAAATAGTTAAACTTACCCCACCCACCCACCCGTTCTTTCATTTTTTTCTTCAGAAATAAGAAATAAATGTTATAATAAATAAGTAGTATAACAAAGAAATTACGATTAACCTTTTTTTTAACAGCCAACCTTCTCACTTTACATAAGAACATACAGGGTTAGTCACGAGAGAATTACTTCTGAAAATTATTTTTACGCAATCCAAAATACGAATACCATGTACCATTTGATACTAACTGAATTTAAAATGAAATGCTTAATCCATGATTGCTTTGAGTTTGACAATCTCATTTTGACAATTGTGGAAAAGGAGGTTACGCGAGTGTCCATGGTGGTACCGCAGCCAGTCGGAAATCTCCTCCGGCGCCGCTAATAAATTTGTCAGTGTGCCTCTTGATCTTTTGCAACCGATTAATCAGGAGAAAATTATTTCTAAAAATTCCTTTTACGGCATTTTATTCAAAGGTTACAACACAAACTCAAACAAGTAAGTAAATAATTTAACTACTAATCTGTTGAAAATTTTGGGGGGATGCTACGGCTTTTTTGTAAATGGATGGCCGAAGAAGTCCAGAGGTTGCAGATTTGCACTTCGAAGAGGCTCTAGGTGACGCAGAGATGGCGAATTAACACATGCACATTAGCGGCGAACAACATTGGTAGAGCACTTAGGCTTCAGTATAGCCCAGATTGATCTGACTGTATATCGTCGATCCAATGGGGCTCTAGAGGCGAGTCAACGATGAAAAAAAAATGTTAAAAATTAATTAACTTCAAAGTGACACTGCCAAAGTCAAAGCAATCATGGATTAAGCATTTCATTTTAAATTTAGATAATATCAAGTGGTACAGGGTATTAGTATTTTGGGTTGCGTAAAAATAATTTTCAGAAGTAATTCTCTCGTGACTAACCCTGTATAATTCGTCCCGCCCACCCACCCAGCCTCCATTTCATCGAATCATTTTATGTAGTCCGAATAAAAGAAAATGAAGTGAGCCGTTCCTGATTCAGTCGATAAAAAAATAAATTCATTCATTAATTTTTTTGAGCCAAGCAAATCTTAAAAATACGAATGCAATGA